CCGTGTCCCCATATAATTCAGTATGATATATTGGCAAGCCCTCGTCCCGAAAAAACATGGTCCCACATTAAATTTAATGTTGGTTTAAGGTGGATCATAGGTATATATTTCCTCAGATAGAATTTTCTTATACTTTGACAAAATGAAGCACTTAAAATGCTTTTTTTTAAATTATAATAAAAAATGTGGGTCACCGTGCTACAAGCTACAAGTCGTGCAAAATTGCCTAAATTTGCATAGATTGTTCATGAAAAACCACATTTTTGTGTATAAAAAGAAATCTATGAGATAGAATTTTGAAATAAAATATGAGAAGATAGGTTTTATTATATGCCTTAAGAAAATAAATAGAAAAAACGGTGTCGCCGAACTTGTTTTCTTGCTAGAAATAAAATATGAAAATTTCACTATCATTCCAGTATAAAATATTTACTTTCAGAGTTATCTTCCCTTAAATGGCATAGTTGAAAAATTGATTCTAAGAACACAAATATTTGGATTTTGTTTAAAAATTTTGGATTATGCAATAAATCATTTATTTTTCTTTATAAAAATTAACATTCTTACACATTATTTGCAAAACTAGACCGATTGTGTACTGCTATTGTACAATTCAAGATGGCGGTATACAATGAATCTACCTTAAACCATGGTTTTCATGCTTGGTAACCATCACTAATATTTGAAGAGGACCTGATAAAAAACCAATGCGCTAGCAAGAAGACAACAAAGTAATTACGGACGGACGGACAACAAAGTCATGACGGACGGACGGACGAACAGATCAAAACAGCATTCCCTCTGTAGCTTATAGTTGCGTAGGACATAACCCTATGTTTATATATTAATAAAATGTGTGAAATGTTCACTAACACGTACATGACCTGAAAATGAATGCCATAATGACGCTAACATATTTTGTTTAATCTATCTTTTTCGCACAAAAGATTGCTGAATAAATAATTTAAATGTCATTCACATTTTTTGTTTATCACAGCACATATAAAAAAAGTCACCTTAACGAAAGTTTAGTGAACTTACAATGTTTTTTCTCCTCAGTTTATGAATTCCTAATGCGTCTTTTATCTTAATTGGGTCAATATCCCTAATGCTTCTCAAAGGAGTAGTGCGTTAAGAAAAATCTCTGTGCATGCAGTGATATTGGACACGAGGGCTGTAAAGCCAGTCAAGATCGTTAAAAACTTCCATCATCATGTTTCAATTTTGTAACAAGTGACTGAGCGTAACCATTAACTGATTTGAAGAGCAGATCGAGGACCATAGAATAAAGGTGTAAAAAACTATGTAGTTATTAAATGTATGCAAAGAACTAAATTTTCAAACAACTTATTGTGTGAAAAAAGGGAACCTCGGAAAGCCGCATCACAAAAGGCTTTTCGGGGTGCGCTAAATTACGGAAAAAAGAATTCACTTCGTACCCCGAAAATTTAACCTCATATTAGAAAATGTCTCCGCTTCAACACGAGTCATCATACATTTCCAAGTTTACGATATGGGCAGAGGAATTGAGGGAATGGCTTTACCGCCAACCTGAAATGAATTGGCTTTTGCGCATCTGTACCCAATTGATAGTTTGCTGTCATTTCCGTGACTCCTCATCTCCTTTTTATCCAAATTGGCATGATAAGTACATGACTGTACTGATTTTTGTTATTATTAAGTTTGACTTTTACGACAATATTGGTCTGAGTCTCTTAAAACCTAGCCTCGCGCAAAATACTGCCAATTTCAACTGAATGTTATGAGACTCTACCATGCGTAAAACCTGTTAGACGGTGGCAGATTCAGGGGGGCGTATAGTGCGTATGCCCCCCCCCATTTATTGGAAAATATATCATGTTAAAGAACAAATCGTCCAAAACATTTTGTAAATATACAGATTTCTGGAACACCTTTCAAAAATCCTGGATCCGCACCTGTTGGGAGTTGTTTCTGTTTAACTTTTGTATGAACCTCTTATAACATACTCCATGTTAACAGATAAATATAGATTCTACCACTGCATCGAGTGTGATACGATATTTATCCACTCGAGACAGTTAAATTTTCAAATTTAAAACGCGAGGCTCGCCGAGCGTTTTAAATATTTAAAATTTAACTGTCGAGAGTGGATAAATATCGTATTACACGAGATTTGGTGGTGGAATCTGTTTCTCTAATGATTTTCAAACAATACGCACTCCAGGCAAATTTATTCCTTCTTTTCGAATGATATGCAAAAAGATGTGTTCTTTCTATGTGACGTCATCAGGCATGGTCGCCTTTTTTCATGCCGTCACAATAGGAAATTCAGAGGAAAGCAAAAAAATTCGACGTCATATTCGGATTTTAACCAATGAAGAACTGAGATCAAACAAACCACACGTTGATTAAATTTTTTTATACAATGGGTGCAGAAAGGGATAAATTGACGAAGAATTAGAGAAAGTGTTTTCCAAAATCGATGGAGAAATATTCATAATTGAGGGCCTGGATGGAGTTTACAGAATAGAGAACAATGGGCAAAAATTATAAGAAAACACAAAAAATACCTAAAACACAAAAAAAGGAATACAGAAATGAATGACCCCCATCTAGATCCAAATAATCTGGTATGTATATTTGTAACAGAATTCCAAAATATTCTAGTGTTTGCAAATATGATCCATCCAATTTTGAATATATAATGATATTTTGATTATTTTTGTCCTTGGTTTCTGTGGCTTGGAACTTAAGTAAAATTTGTCCATTATTGCCATAATATACCATTTTGTGTCATGCACAACTCCAATGGTTTTACTTCAAAATTTTCAGAACTTTAGACAGATTTGAATTATTTTTTCTTTCAGCTTTCCCATGTGTGGAACTTATCCACTTTGTTACTGAAGATTCTTAGTTTGTGCCATGTGTAACTCCATTGTTTTTATCATTTGTGTAATTCCATTGTTTGTGTCATGTGTTTCTCCATTGTCTGTTTCATGTATATTTCCATTATTTGTGTCATGTGTAACTCCATTGACACACTGGTTTCTGAAAGGTATACATCTGTGTATACACACTGGTTTCTGAAAGGTATACATCTGTGTATTGCATATAACCTAAATGTATTTCTTTTCATGAAAAAAACCTGTACACTAATTTCTTACACCTGAGAATTTTTAAATGAATGTTGTTTTTTCAAAGCAGCACAGTATGATGCAGGTCCAGACACAGTTTTTGTCTTGAATTCAGCCCAACATTATATTAGTACTTCATTTTGGCAAATATTCATTGTTCCTTCAGCAGGATTCCAGACATCAACAAACACACCACATTATGTTTTTTTTTCATTGTTCAAGTCTGTACATTGACCTGTAATTTGCTTACACATTTGAACTCTGGTGGAGTGTTGTCTCATTGACAATCATACCACAACTCCTTATTCTTATAATAACAAAAATTGATCTTTTTCTGTATTTACATTAATTTATCTTTGTAAATAGTAGATATGTACTTAAACTTTGTTTCTTTTTTATTATTTAAATGATTTTAAATTTTTCAAATGGTTTAAAAACAAACTGACAATGCCATTGCAAAAAAAAAATTGCTTCGCCGAGCGCAGCTGGATACGACTGCTGAGGTCCAACCCTGAACAGTTGGGGCAAAAATGGACGCAATATTCACGCTTGATACAGGTCTGAATTTGGATTATAATTAAATATTTGACACATAAAAGGTTTCTGACACAGAATAACTGTAGTCAAAGAACTTAGAATTGGTTATATGATTTGAATTCATATTCAATTATTTGCTTTTGTGCAATACACTTTGCTGTTGCAAATTGATCCCCCCTCCAACCACAAAAAAAAATAAATAAATAACTTTTTTTTGTTGCTTTTGTGCATTTGTGCAATACACTATGCTGTTACGTATTAACACCCCCCTTGGATTACCTCCCTTACACTGCTTTTAAATTGTCTTAATTGTTCATTAAACATTACTTTATACATAATTTAAAAGCAGTGTAAGGGAGGTAATTCAAATGATGTATTTGAAGTACCTCCCTTACACTGCTTTAAATTATGTTTTGTTCTAAAGTATTTGTCCATTAACCAGGACACCCTTGTTTTTCCCCCTTTTTTTACCCTAATTTGAGCCATAACCCCCCCAAAGCAAATCCTAACCATCCCTTTGTGGTATGGAAACTTGTGGTATAATTTTAGAGAGATCCATACACCTTTCCACAAGTTATTGTCTGGAAACTAGAAAAATGCTTATTTTTGGCCCCTAATTCCTTAACTGTTGGTAACATAACCCCCAAAATCAATCCCAACCTTCCTTTTGTGGTATTGAACCTTATGGTAAAATTTCATAGAGATCCATTCACTTAAACTAAAGTTATTGTGCGAAAACCAATGCGTCTTCAGACGATGACAACAACGCCGACGACGCCAACATCATACCAATATACGAACCTTTGCAGTCGTATAACAAGTGACTCTGTGAGCTACTGCTCACTAATGATACCCCCGCCTGCTAAAAGTATAAGGTAAACAGGAAGCTGTTGAGTGATGAATCTGAAAACGCATCACACAGTATAGCGGACTTATATAAACCCTGAAAACAAATTTCAGAAATCCTTGTATTGTAGTTCCTGAGAAAAATGTGACGAAAAATATTCATGGACAGATGGAAGGACTGACGGACAGATGGACTGACGAATGGACAGACAGAAGTAAAACAGTATACCCCTACTTTTTTAAGACAGTCTACAAAATACAACAAAGAAAATTAAGACTCAGCAAAACCAAAAATCAGGGGTGATCTCAGGTGTTTCAGAAGGGTTAGCAGATCCTGCTCCAAATGTGACACGATTTAAAAGTACAAGTTACAATATAAAGAGAAAGACACAACTCTCAAAATGAATGACTCAAAAAGTGATGTTAAGTCCCTTTGGCTTATTAGGTTCAACTGTATTCTACACCTTGTAAGGGTTGCATGCAAAATGATAAGTTTAAAAGTGGAAGTGATTCTGTTTATTCAAGATTATAAATAAAACAATTTTAAATTCATAATGGGAATACTCATATAAAACAAATATAATTTTCACAGAAAATAAAATTCTTTTGAATATTAACATTATTTGGTACATGTAATACACGAGATATTTATAATCATAACATTACTTTACAAATACACAAATAAACAAACAAAACAACAAATTATTTGTGCTTAAACAAATTAAAATGGTCAAAGCACTCACATAAACTGTTTTCTCTGTACTGCAGCTGTCTACCATTTCATAATTATATTCAGTTTGACCAATATAAGAGGGTCTGGATGATAGGTTTTCATTTCTTTATTCTGAACATTTTAGGCATTTTTGTAACTTTTTTTAAACCACTGTCTCTATATTTTTGCCCATTTTTCTCTATTCTTAAATTTATTCTTTGCCAATTATTCTCAATTATGCAAACCCCATCCAGACCCTCATGCATCTTATTTTTTGCTTAAAATTGCTGCTTTGTATACTGTAAATTCAGAAATTATTGGGTGCATTTATCATTGCAAATGTTGAACAATCTACACAAATAAGAGTTTAATTATCACGATTTCAGGCCATGCTGCATGATAAAGAGCTGCGCCATGAGCGCATGATACACCCGTCGCTTTTTCAACGAATAAAGTTCAATAACTCCTAAATGTCTTATCAGAAATTTATAAAAAAAACTAAAAGGAGCTTATCTTAATAAATATAAACCATTCACCAAAGTTTCATGAAAACTGCTCAAATCATTGTTGAGTTATTGTCCCAAAACTAGAAAATTCCCCCTTTTTTAGGAATAAAATACCATAACTCGGAAACATAAAATCTAAAATTATAAAAATCGAAAGGGAGCTTACCTAAATACATATAATCAATTCACTAAAGTTTCATGAAAATTGGTTAACTTCTTAAGCGTTTTTGAGTTATGGTCCGACATATTGATGATGGACGGACGGACAACAGTATACCATAATACATCGTGTAAACGGGCGTATAAAAATCATGTTATCATAATTAAAATGCAAGTTTTTATCAATGCAACACCTATCTCATCCTAATTTTCGGATTAATAAAAACATTGCATACATGTCAAAGTTAACAATAGCTATAAGGTGTGTCTATGACCAAGGCAATCTGATTTATTCACAACTTTACAAGGACTAACTAAATCCAGAACTTCATCCAAAAGTTTCGCACAACAGAGTTAAAAGAAAAAACATAAAAAAAGAAGAAACTGCTTTAAATAAGAATTGCTGATATTGTTGCAAAACATCACAAAATATTCATCACATCAAGGTTAAATAGATGGAGATTTCTGAGTAAACACTCATTCTCAATTTTGTCCCTAATACACATTTTCATCATATCAAGACACAGTTTTATGTATCTGTAGAAAAAAACTAAGATTGATTGATTGATTGACTGATTGATGTTTAACACCACTTTCAGCACTATTGTGCTTTTTAATGGCAGTCAGTTTTGATTGGTAGAGGAAGCCCTAAGAGAAACACCGACCTTTGGTAGGAAAACTGACAATCCTAGTCAATTAAGATTTGAGTGCACCTACCACATGCGGGATTCAAACTCACAACCTCAGTGTTGACAGGCTAGTGATATAGTAGTTTGACTACTTAGTTATCAAAGGTACCAGGATTATACCACTCGTCCCCCTCCCCCTCCCCAAGAAAAATTTTTAGACAAATTTACAGAATACTCTGTGTATTAAACTATATACATAGGAAAACAAAATGATAAAATTAGTTACGATATTTTCTTTTATAAATCATAAATATTTGAAATTCATTCAAATTATATTATGCTTAAAATTTCTTAAAGGTAGCTTGGATTTCAAAACTTAATCACAAAGAAGGGAAAATTTCAAATAGCACTCATATTACTTCTTTTGGCATGGCAATCAATATCACAAGTAACAATATCTACACACAAATTCAAATACATTATAGTTGGGGGTCTGTCTCATTCAAAATACATTGTTTTCTATAATTACATTTCTTTACAGTGGAGGTAACTCAAATGTTTGAACAAACTGGTTTTTTGTTACTGCAATCATAATGAAAAATATATGTGTTAGGAGTTATACCAACAAATCATGACGTCACATCCAGTTTTATACGAAAAAGGGTCGAAAAAAAAAATCCTTTTAACATTGACAGTTGTAGGAAATTAACCTTGCATTTCATTGCAAAATTTTTTTTCTGAGTCATAAACTTGTATCTTGGGTGTGTCAAAGCACTATTCTTTTAATGTTAAAAAAAATAATTTGGAAACTAGAGGTGACATGGTTATCAAAGCTTGTAAACAGGAAAAACAGTGATGAAAAGTTGATCAGTTTACTTCAGGTGATGGTTATTTTCTTATATGCAATGAAATGTTTTACTGTAGTATTGGAATGGATAAAACTTTAGTTTTACTCAACTATTTTTTTATTTGAAATAAAGATAAATTCTGTACAATTTTTTGAAAAATGGCAATTCAATAAAGACTATTAGGGGAAAATCAATGGTGGTATTAATCCTGTTAGGCCAAAAAAAAAAAATTTGACAGGCAATTAGAGTTAACGTTGGAGTTCAAAATATTACAGTAATTCCTTATAATTTAATTCTAAATTCCATTTTTAAGGAGTAAATCATGAAAAAAACGTTGATGATGACACAGTCACATGACAAATTCAGTCTATGAGCTGCTTGACAAAAAAAAATTTCAGCCAATCAGAAGACGTGTTACATCCAATCTTTTTATCCTGAGTTGGGTGTTGGTGTGATCTGTTTTGTTGACCCTATTTCGGTAATTCAAGTTGTCCTTTTTGTGTCCTGTAGATTCAGAAATTATTGCCAGGTTTTTACTAATGCGAATAATAAGACTTTGTAAATTTTCAATAATAAGAATTTGCATTCTGATATCTGATACATATATCTGCATGCAGGTTTTCCTGAAATCGCAAAAATAATCAATTTCCCATTCTTGTCCATTCTTCATAAATTGCAATAATAAATGCACCCAATAATTTCTGAATTAACAGTATTATTATTAAGCAAAAATATAATTATTAACAAAATATCATTATTAACAAGGTCTGGGTTTAGTGATTCTAATTATAGCTTATTCATGCTATCAGGGCTAACACTTTCCTAAACATTTGTAAGTGATTTTAAAAATCTGTAATATATAAGAACCTGTTCTCTCAATCAGTACTGCATCAATAGTAAACCAGTTTGTTCAGTTTGTTCGGTTAATTCCCTAATTTAAAGAATATCAAATAGAATGAACTTTAAAAAAAAAAGTCTGAATATTTCATTTTTTTCCCACAAAAAAAATATTAAAAAAAACTCAAAAAAGATCAACAACAACAAATATTCATATACGAAAACATACAAAACAATATTATACACATAAAAAAATCAGTTAAGACTTAATTAAAAAGATATTAAAATGTATTATGCAATTCATTTTGAATGAAAAACATTCCACAAGTAAATATTGCATACTCATGGTTTATTATTATTCTACAGTTCTAAAACTGGTATTTTAAGTATTTCATTTTTCATGATTGACTTTACATTGATCTATTTTATATTACACTACAACAAAGGTGAATGTGTCATTTCTACCGTCCAACAATGGAGAGCCACTTTAAATAAAGTTTAGATTTAAAATTAAGATTGAAAACAATAGGTTAACGTTTTCATTCTTTCATCATAATGAATGTGTGCTTTCACTATAAAAGCAGAATGTGTCTGAGAACACGAATGCCCCCGTTCAAGCTTTGCAATTTTCCGAGATAAAAAGGGGCATAACTCTAAATTGAAAATGAATCACAACCCAAATTCAAACTTTGTCTGCGTGTTGTAGTTCTTAGCATTGTGTATGAGTTTCATAAAACTTGAACGAGACAAACTTACTGGTAAGTTAGAGTGCATAAACAAAAAAATTGCAATTTTCCAAGTTATAAAGGGGTATAATTCTAGAACCAATTCTAAGTGACTCACTACCCAAATTCAAACTGTTCTTAGCATTGTGTATGAGTTTCAGAAAATTTGGATGAGTAAAACTTAAGTTAGAGTGCGGGACATATAAGGAAATGAAATAGCATGCCTACTCCAAAAGGTGGCATAATTACCACATTAAAGATTTGTTCACCTTGTCGTCACCTTCCACCATGGACGATGAAAATGTCACAATCTACCCCAGCTGTTTAGTATAAATATTAATTCCTTTGTCACAATCTACCCCACATGTATAGTCATGTTAGTATAAATATTAATTCCTTTGTCACACATGTAACAAGTCTCTTGTGTGAAATTGAAGCCTTTAGGTACTAAATTCAGGGATAACTATAAATAGAATGGCACATTTATAAATTATGTTACAAATTATGTTACAGCTGTTTAAATTACCAAGTGAATGCAGCCGAGTAATGTTACAGATACAAATGTTGTACGTATCAACAAAATTAATGATGAAATCCTGAGGTTTCTACGAAAAAAAAACAACAAAATATGTTCACTAATAATAGAAATAGTATACTGTGGATTCGTTTATTTTCGTGGGTATCAATTTTCGTGGATTGAGGAAATCTTGCATTTTCATGGATATTGAATTTCGTGGTTTTGCCTTAGTCTGCATGCAAACCAATAGAAAATTTGTAAATCGTTGAACATTTAAATTCATGATTTAACTGTACCCATAAAACCCACGAAAATTGGTATCCCACGAATAATAATGAATCCACAGTATATTCAATAGAATTCAAATATAACAAAAACTATTATGAATTGCTGGTGCTATTTTATGAAAACAAATTACCAGTATTGGTAGTTTAGTATTTTGAACGAGGTTTTTATCATTGTAATAATGATTTAGTCTTTAAGTCTCTTACACTAGAATGCTGCCCTAAACCAGAGACACTCTAAATCAAAGAAATAAATGTAGGGTAAATTTTACAAACATATGATTTCTTATGACATACTTTAGAAATATCATTTGGCAAAAACAAACTTTATAGAGGGAATGTTCTTTATAGATTTAGGTTTTGAGTTACTTCCCTTTTGTTATCATTGGAGACCTGTCTAAGTGCAGACCTGCCAACTATACAGATTTATTGGGATATATCCCCAATGAGAGGTGTTTACCTGAATTCTGAAATCCTTTATTATATAAACAGAACACCTCAAAACAGGTATTCAAATGAATTATAAGGGTATTTAAGCACATATGTACTCATTCAAACAATATTAGAGGGGCCTAAGGTCCTCTTGTGCTCTAAATCCTCTACTGAAATTTTGAAAAGTTGGCAGGTATGTAAGTGCACAAAGTCCTTCCATAAATCAGCCAAATTCAACTTGTTATACTGACCGCTAGACCTTTGTCAAATAAGAAACTCAATCATTTACCCCTTCAAAATGATAGCCAAGGGAAATAACTCAACCTGAAATAACGTCATATCAAAACTTATCTTTAAAAAAAAAAAAAAAAAAGGAAAGTCTTCACAACATTTACACAAAAAAATTCTGGAATAAATAATAACAATCAATTTAATCATAATCATGATTATCTCGAACATAACTGACTACAGCATCTGTATTCATGACATTCTAATGTTCTTCACACAGGCTAGATACAAATTTCATGTGAGGCTGAATTGACGATAACTTACATCCAATTTTCATGAATTTCGTGGGTTTAGGTAAACCACAAATTTAAACATTCAACAAATTACAAATCTTCTACAGACTTATATGCAAGTTTGGCAATATCCACGAACATACAATTTTTTCTCAATCCACAAAAATTGGAAGAAAATAAATGAATCCACAGTAATGTTGATGACATGTTTGAAGAATTTAAACATTTTCATTTGTACTATCAAATTTTGGCAGGCTGATTCCGTGTATTATACAAAAGCTTCTGGTCCCTTGTCTTTACTATTGTCTAACATAATCATTTGTATATCATCCACACTTCCAGGAGATGACCTCTGACCTAACCTATTCTGTGCTGAATCTATGACGAAGTCATGTATACTATCTTCAATAGATCTTTCCTTTGTCAACTTGTGATGATGGCCTACTTCATTGACAAGTTCAACTTCATCGTTGTTTAACCCAGATCCTACTGAAAATTGAGGGGAAAGATTTCCTGAACCAAGACCAGGAGTGAAACCGCCAGAATCTGTCGACTTTGACACGTCTTCATTCCTGACTACAGTCAGCGCAGACTTTAATTTAGCTCTTGATAAATTTGGTGAGCTCTGCCTTCCTAAATCCTGAGATAGCATCTGTCTAATTTCATCTAAACTTTCATGATGACTTTCTCTGTATAAATTGCTGTCCGATTCGACCTGAGGATAGGCCGTTGCCCCTAGCAACGGTTCAGTGTCTCTTCCTGTTATAGAAATTCTTGCCGAATCAAGTGAAACGTCCCTGTTGTGTTCTGATGACAAAGAGAACTGAACGGGAAGTGTTTTCTTCTTCTTTACTTCAGATCCACTTTCTAAAACGCTTGAAAGACTTCCCGATGGAGTTGCGTCCGCATCAATTTCATCTAAATCACTGTCTGACTCTTCCTCGTCTTCTTCGTCCATTTGAGAGAAGCTGTGAATGGCATCGTGAAGGAGACTGGACTCGTAACTCATCTGCTGTATAACGCTATCGTTACGAGGCATTTTACTCCTCCTATTAAGGGCAACAAGCTCTTCATGTTCCGTAATGGTCTCAAAGTCATCTGCATTGTCATTTTTTGGGAGCTTATATTTCACAGATCCTGAACCTTCAGCATTAGATGACCTGAACACTTTTTGTGACTTTTCTGATTTGTTAATTGTTCCGTTAGAAACACTCGAACCAACGGTTGAACCAGATCCAAAACTATTCTGTGAATTCATATTCATACCCAAGTCTTCTCTCACAGGATCCATTTTTCTAGCAGTGAGATTATTCTCTCTTTCAATAAGTGATTTAACTGCTGCTTTAAATAACTGCCAATCACCAAACTTCATATCTAAGACTTGTCCAAGTTCACTAAGGTCACAGTTGACAAGGACACGCCCATTGATGTTGTTTTCCATCACACAGTCCTGATATTTCAGTAGGAATGTTTTGTTGATACCATCAAGTTTGGATAACAGACTACAAACATCTTGTACAGACATCAAACTCAATCTTTCATTGTTGTAACCCTGAAAAATAAAAAAAAATCTAATTGTATTTCCTCATCTTTAACATTTTACTAAGGTCACACCAAATTAATGTCTTGTTCGTCAAAATTGCCGCTCTGAATATTCCAATTTTGTCTTCTTTTTTTTTTTTAAATTTTGCTGGCATTGACAAACAAGGATAGCTTTGAATCAAAGTTATGCTACTTTTATTGTAACTTTCAATATCAGAAACATAAAAAAACTAGAGGCTCTAAAGAGCCTGTGTCGCTCACCTTGGTCTATGTGCATATTAAACAAAGGACACAGATGGATTCATGACAAAATTGTGTTTTGGTGATGATGATGTGTTTGTAGATCTTACGTTACTGAACATTCTTGCTCCTTACTACTATCTCTATCTATAATGAACTTGGCCCGGTAATTACAGTGGAAAATACTTTGTAAAAATTTACAAAAATTTACAAAATTTATGAAAATTGTAAAAAATTGACTATAAAGGGCAATAACTCCTTAAGGGGTCAATTGACAATTTTGGTCATGTAGACTTATTTGTAGATCTAACTTTGCTGTACATTATTGCTGTTTACAATTTATCTCTATCTATAATAATATTCAAGATAATACTGTAAATTCAGAAATTATTACGATGTTTTTATTATTGCGAAAAATGCGACAGGGTTATAATCGCAATGATTTAAACTCGCATTTGGAAATTTTTTATATAAATTAGACAGGATTTTTCTGAATATCGCAAAAATTTAAATCGCATTTTAGTTTAAAACGACAAAATCGCAATAATAAATGCATGCAATAATTTCTGAATTTACAGTAACCAAAAGCTGCAAAATTTTCTTAAAATTACCAATTGAGGGGCAGCAACCCAACAACGTGTTGCCTGATTGGTCTGAAAATTTCAGGGCAGATAGATCTTGACCTAATGAACAATTTTATCCCATTAGATTTGCTCTAAATGCTTTGGTTTCAGAGATATGAGCCAAAAACTGCATTTTACCCTATGTACTATTTTTTAGCCATGTCGGCCATCTTGGTTCGCAGGCGGGGTCATCGGACACATTTTTTAAACTAGATACCCTAATGATGATTGTGGACAAGTTTGGTTAAATTTGTCTTAGTAGTTTCAGAGGAGAAGATTTTTGTAAAAGATTACAAAAATTTACGAAAAATGGTTAAAAATTGACTATAAAGGGCAATAACTCCTTAAGGGGTCAACTGACCATTTTGGTCATGTTGACTTATTTGTAGATCTTACTTTGCTGAACATTATTGCTGTTTACAGTTTATCTCTATCTATAATAATATTCAAGATAATAACCAAAAACGGCAAAATTTCCTTAAAATTACCAATTCAGGGGCAGCAACCCAACAACGGGTTGTCCGATTCATCTGAAAATTTCAGGGCAGATAGATCTTGACCTAATGAACAATTTTACCCCCATGTCAGATTTGCTCTAAATGCTTTGGTTTCAGAGATATATGCCAAAATCTACATTTTACCCCTATGTTCTATTTTTAGCCATGGTGGCCATCTTGGTTGGTTGGCCGGGTCACCGGACACATTTTTTAAACTAGATACCCCAATGATGATTGTGGCCAAGTTTGGTCAAATTTGGCCCAGTAGTTTCAGAGGAGAAGATTTTTGTAAAAGTTTACGGACGACGGACGACGGACGCAAAGTGATGAGAAAAGCTCACTTGACCTTTCAGGTCAGGTGAGCTAAAAATTAGCTCCATAATGTTCATTAAACAAACAAAAAAACATTAGCCCATCTATTTTCATCTAAAAAATCAAAACAATTCATTCTTTCTGTGTGGCCTTTAACATACTGTCAAGCTGATGTTCAGACCAAATATCATATGAAGTCATTCTGTTTATTAGTTTTAGAGAAAAAGTTTCCTGAATTTTGAGGATATGGAGGAACCTCACATTTAAATGTTCAACGAAGTACAAATTTTCTATAAGCTTGTATGCTGTCTTTGACAAAACCTCAAAATCGAATATCTAACAAGTGAAACTGCGAGCTACTGCTCATTGATGATACCCCCGCCCAAATATGGATAATTTTAATAGTGTAAAAATATGTAAGTGTTCTGTAAACAGGAAGTTGCTGAGTGATGAATCTGAAAACGCATCACACGGTATAGCTGACTTATATAAACCCTGAAACCAAATTTCAGAAATCCTTATGATGTAGTTCCTGAGAAAGATGCGATGAAAAATATTCATGGGACGGATGGACGGACTGACGGATGGATGGACCGGACAGACAGAGGTAAAACAGTATACCCCCACTTTTTTAAAGCAGGGGTATAATAATAAAATGCAATTTTCAATCCATCCATGAAAATTGGTAAACATGAAAAAATGAATAAATAGTAGACCTGGCACTTGGCCACTGAGGCCTTAAAAAAAATTCATTGCCTACTGTGAGTATCTATTACCTTTATAAAAGTATCAGGAGTGGCTTGCTTTGCTGTTGATTCTGGTATCAGTTTTGCATTAGATGATAACTGTGGCATATAGGGTGGCATGCCATAAAAATGTGGTGGGTAATATGGCATATTTCCATACTGTGGCATCGCAGGTGGCATCTGCCGATCTGTCTGCAACAGATTTGAGGCACTTTGATTTCTGATAGAACTCAAACGTCTGGGTGTAGCATACTGATCTTGAATCATTCCTGTAGCGATGGATGGTGGCACTCCTAGAACTGATGTAGACATGCCAGGCGTAGGAGGAAACATGGGGAACTCTGATCTGAAGATATCAGTGCTCTTCTGTAATTCTATAAATAGAATAAATTTTATAAATAACTACTTTTCTTTGACAGCTTAAAAGATAATGGGTTGAAATCTGTTAATGTAAACCAACTTGTTTTCCTAGATACTGTTTTTGACATTTGACCCTTGCAAACTCACTTGACCCCTTTTTTGTGTGTGTGTTGATGTACAGTATTCATGTCAGAGAGAAGATCTTAATTTTACATATTCCTGGTATTTTTCGATTAGGGAAAGTCTCAAAATACTTTGCTTAGAAAATAAGTTGGCTTACAGTATATGGATTGTAGATCTATATATCTTGCTCATGAATGAAGGAAGGAAATAAACATTTTGAGCAAGATCTATCACTTTTCATACTTAAAATCTCGTACTAAAGGGGGCATTCATCTGGTTGTGCAGAATGTATTTATAGTAAGTCACGTCCACTTGGAATGGGAACATTAAATCCAATGCCTGCTGTAGAGAAAACACTCATTACATTTAAAGAATCATTGTAACAACTCTTTGAGGGGTATGAGGTGGCCTAGCTGTTGCAGTGGTAAATGTCTGCTACTTTCCAAATTTCCCCATTTTTCAATGGCAGTTGAAATTCACATGCTTTATCCCATTCAACCTACTTTGCAGGATCTGCCTTCCTATTGAATACTGTAAATTCAGAAATTATTGCGAATAATGCGACTGGATGAGTATCGCAATTATGAGAACTCACTGATATCTGATTTATATATTTTTTTGAAATTGCAATAATTAATCTTGCATTTTTGTCAATGCTTCAAAATTCACAATTTTAACAATGTCATCACAACACTTTGTGCATCCTGGTAAAAAAATTGTCTAAAGTTAAATATTTTACTTGTGATTAATCAAAATGAACAACATATTTTATTTAGACCATTTATGCTAAGCATTATTCAAGTTTTAACAACAAAGAGCTACTAAACACTGGTAAAATAATAATTTCAAATCACTGCACAATAACCCTTGATTTTATGCTAACAAACTGAAACTTTAATAACAACATAAGGTAAATAGGTAAATACTATGATGAGGAAAAATTGTATTTTTGTGGACAATTAATTTCATGGTTTTAACAAATTGTTTAAAAAAGACAATAGAAAACTTGTACTTTTTTTGAACACTTAAATTAGATTTAACTTTTACCCACAAAATTCATACCTGCCAACTTTTCCAAATCTACATGGGGGATTTTAAGCACAAAAGTAGTAGATTATAAACACTTATGACAATATAAGAGGAGCATTAGGTCCTTTTGCACTTAAAATCCCCCATGTAGATTTGGAAAAGTTGGCAGGTATGAATTTTGTGTGTTTAAACTGCATTTCTTTTAACCCCTCAGGGCTGCTACATTGCAGGATACAAATTTCAAGTTTTTGTTCTTTTTTAAAACAAATATAATAGTGAACAATGAAGCTTGTTACTAAGAATAAAATATACAAAATGGCAATGTTATTATTTTAGGCGATCAGTTAGAAAAAGTTTATTAAACACAGGTATTAATCTTATGTGAAAAACAGCAAATAAAGATAATTTCACAACTAGTGGATATTAAACAAACATGAATTAACCATGTAAAATAGACAATAAACATTAAATTTGATATCACAACACTTTTTACCTGGTAAGTTGTCTGTAGTTGGTTAATGTAAAGACAGAAACAAGTACATTGTATTATTTCATAAATGGATCGAATAAAAAGCTAAAAATTTTCAGATTTAAAAAAAACATGTAATAATCAGTCAGGGGACTTACTTAAATGAGTGATTTTCTAAATCACTGATACAAGTAACATTATGTCCATAAAGGTTGGAAATAAGAGTTGTCTTTCTTTAATAATCACCTATCTAAGAAGTTCAAATTAATCACTAGACTAAGTGATTTAATTTTATTGTAGCTTTAAATATAGAATACTAATGATCCAGGGACTAATTATGTTGCTAAAATTATCAGAACCAACATCTGTGTTGATACGATGACCGGGTCATGTCAGGTGATGACCTTGTACTAAATCTAGGATAATGACATAAAAATCACTTGTTTAAGTATCATACCTCAATTTCCTTCCAAAAAATCACTTCTTTAAGTATCATTATTTTAATAACCCCCACTAATTTCAACACCCCCGAACAGTGAAATTTTGATCGCGAACAGTAGAATTTTATTACATAATCTATAAGATGAAACCTTGAATTTTACAGGAAAAATACTCCCACTGCTGGGAAAAATCTGTTAAGAAAGTATCAGTTCATTATGTAAAGCCACTTTTATAGCATTTTTTCAACTAAAATAGAATTTGCAGGTAAATGATTGCATCAAAGGCATAAACCTTGCTGCTTAAAAGAAGCAAAAAGTTCATTTTTTTTCAATTTTACTAATGAAAAGATATTATCTAAACCTATGCGTTTAAAATTTTGGTAAAACTACAAAATCACAATTTGTGACAAAACTTCGAATTTGCTACTTAAATAAGTGATTTAAAAATCACTTATTTCAATAAGTCCCCTGACTGATAATTTTCATATCAGTTATTACATGTATTACTGTCTTTGGTTGTATGCTTTTGTTTGTATGGAATTTGATGCGACTGTCATACAAGTGAGAGGTTTAGCTAGCTATAAAACGAGGTTCAATCCACCATTTTCTACATAAGAAAATGCCTGTACCAAGTCAGGAATATGACAGTTGTTATCAATTCATTTGATGTGTTCATGGTGTTTGAGCTTTTGATTTTGCCATTTGATTAGGGACTTTCCTTTTTGAATTTTCCTCGGAATTCAGTATTTTTGTGATTTTACTTTTTATTCTTTTACAGGTTTGCATTTTTCACAAAAATTACTGAATTTACAGTATGTTATCCTTATTGGAATATACTATACATTCCAGAATTCCAGAATAACATTTCTATATTTCTAAGCCAATTTAAACACCCCCACCCCAAATGGTTGGTTATTTTTTTCATAAGCAATCTGTGGAAAACTTAATCTCAATCATTCTTTGGTCAAAATTCAATGATGATGTTAAATTCAAATTTTCAATTCCTCTTATTTCTCTTAGTATTGTGACATATAAAAAGGGGACCATACCAGATGACTTCACATATAAGGACACAATCTTTTTGTATATCATTAAAAAAGAACGATAAAATTTGTCTACATATCTCCTAAAAATCATTAGTTAAAAGAAATTATACCACTGGATCTTGTGTGATACCATATTTTTCCTACAGTGATATCTTTTATAGTTAAAAAGCCTCAGAGTTTGAAATTTGATAAATTAAACTGTCTTGAGAGGGAGAAATAAAGTATCACACTTGAAGCAGTGGTAGAATTGTCTAATATCTATAATGTGAGCTGCATCGGATAGAAATCAACCTTATTGTAGGTGCACGTATACATGTATATGTACAAGACTTTGATTGATTTTGGAACATTCAAATACAAAATAAAAGATTAGTTTTGGTCGGTTTGGTAAGGTCCATATATAAACTCAATTTGCAAACAGTTACAGCTTTTGCATAGAGATTTTTTTCAAGCTGAAATAGATTAACAGATGTATTTGATATTCATTTGCATCAGGTCGATTTCTACATGTATCTGTTGCAGCTCATATGATAAACAACAGCACAGGTGGATTTGGTCATTTCTGTAGTCAACATGCACAGCCAATTCAAATTCAATTCAAATTTTGTAAAGAATTAAAACCACTTAATTGAATTTTCCCATGCATTTTATGATCAAATTTTATGAAAAAAGAAAAGAAGGCCTTTTTTTCTATGCGAAGGAAACTTTAATTTCTAAATAAAAAAATGCCAGCATCTCTTTAAATTCTTTAAATTGATATTTTACAGGACCCACATATTTCTTAAGGAGGGACTTTCAGTTGAAAATTTAAACTGTCCTGACATTTCATTCTATAAAGCAAGTTTGAACCCACGATAATCCACTATAACTGTAGTGTACCACAATGATAATTACCTCTAATAAGTTTCCTAAGGTATGGATCCAGGTTGATCGTACATGGCAAGAATTTCTTTAGATCAGCAATTGTCAACATGTGACTTTTGGATGAAGACGATTTACTGGATAAGAAAGCTTCTAATTTTCTTGGATTTCTATCTATCTCAAGCAGAGGCTCTACTTCTTTTGAAATTGGTAATTTATCTGCGATTCTGGTAAAACAAGAAATGAATGTAACAGGATGCTGTTACGAAGTCTCCCAAACGAAGCTCCCATAATTCGTAATTCCCAGGGTCGCCTGACATTGGGCAACATCCATTGAAAATTGGTTTGGTCCAGTAAAGTTATATGCATTAGTGATGCCTGGGGACTAACCTTGTATATCATTCAAATCATCTCGGCATGACAAACAAGAATATATATGGTTTAGGGGTGGGGATCTCAACCATTTACAAGATACTAGAATATTGGGGGTGGGGAGGAACCCCTGGGGACTGGCCCTATACGTCATTCAAATGTTCATTACATGACGAACAGGAATATATATGGTTTAGGGGTGGCCATCTCAACCATTTACAAGATATTAGAACATTGGGGGTGGGGGGAACCCCTGGGGACTGACCGTATACGTCATTCAAATGTTCGAGACATGACAAATAGGAATATATATGGTTTAGGGGTGGGGATCTCGACCATTTACAAGATATTAGAACTTTCTCAAATGACAGGGGGTCGGGATGACCCCTGGGGACTAACCCTGTCTATCATTCAAACCATCTTCGCATGACAAACCAGAATATATATGGTTTAGGGGTGGGGATCTTGACCACTTAGAAGATATTAGAACTTTCTTAAATGGCAGGGGGTGGGGGTGACCCCTGGAGACTAACCCTGTATTTCATTTGATGTGCTTTATCATGACAAACCAGAATATATATGGTTTAGGGGTGGGGATCTTGACAACTTAGAAGATATTAGAACTTTCTTAAATGGCAAGGGGTGGGGGTGACCGCTGGGGACTAACCCTGTATTTCATTTGATGTGCTTTATCATGACAAACCAGAATATATATGGTTTAGGGGTGGGGATCTCGACCATTTACAAGATATTAGAACTTTCTCAAATGGCAGGGGGTCGGGATGACCCCTGGGGACTTACCCTGTATATCATTCAAACCATCTCAGCATGACAAACCAGAATATATATGGTTTAGGGGTGGGGATCTTGACCACTTAGAAGATATTAGAACTTTCTTAAATGGCAGAGGGTGGGGGTGACCCCTGGGGACTTACCCTGTATAACATTTGATGTGCTTTATCATGACAAACCAGAATATATATGGTTTAGGGGTGGGGATCTCGACCATTTACAAGATATTAGAACTTTCTTAAATGGCAAGGGGTGGGGGTGACCCCTGGAGACTACCCCTGTATTTCATTTGATGTGCTTTATCATGACAAACCAGAATATATATGGTTTAGGGGTGGGGATCTCGACCATTTACAAGATATTAGAACTTTCTCAAATGGCAAGGGGTGGGGGTGACCGCTGGGGACTTACCCTGTATAACATTTGATGTGCTTTATCATGACAAACCAGAATATATATGGTTTAGGGGTGGGGATCTCGACCATTTACAAGATATTAGAACTTTCTAAAATGGCAGGGGGTCGGGATGACTCCTGGGGACTAACCCTGTATATCATTCAAACCATCATAGCATGACAAACCAGAATATATATGGTTTAGGGGTGGGGATCTTGACAACTTAGAAGATATTAGAACTTTCTTAAATGGCAGGGGGTGGGGGTGACCCCTGGGGACTAACCCTGTATTACATTTGATGTGCTTTATCATGACAAACCAGAATATATATGGTTTAGGGGTGGGGATCTCGACCATTTACAAGATATTAGAACTTTCTCAAATGACAGGGGGTGGGGATGACCCCTGGGGACTAACCCTGTATATCATTCAAACCATCTTAGCATGACAAACCAGAATATATATGGTTTAGGGGTGGGGATCTTGACCACTTACAAGGTATTAGAACTTTCTCAAATGGCAGGGGGTGGGGGTGACCCCTGGGGACTAACCCTGTATTTCATTTAATGGGCTTTATCATTTAGAACATTTTCAATTAAAAAGTTTGTGTCTATCACGAACGGTTTTCAATTTATAATCATTTGAAAATTTTAAAAAATAAAATCCCATAGGGTTCTATAGTAAAACCCTCTTTTCTTTTTGCCCCTCAAAGTACCCCTTTATAAACCCCATTGCAAAAACAAAACCCTGATTGCACCACTAGACATGTTAGTCTAACATATTGTGAAACCCTAAGTTAATCCGACAAGCGGTTTTGGAGAACGGGTGCGGACAAGTTCAAATTTAAAAGCGGCGGAAGAAGAAGAAGAAGAAGAAGAAGAAGAAGAAGAAGAAGAAGAATAATAATAATAATAAGAACTGAGCAAAAACAATAAGTCTTCCCAAACTTCGTTTGGGAGACTTAAATATAAAATAACACAATAAAATTTATTAGTCATAAAATTTTTTTCCTCTAGTTTTTTCTTTTGTTTCTTTCAATGTTTTCCCTTTCTGTTTGTTTTCGTTTTCGTTTTTCTTGATTTTGTTTTGCTCTTGCAAGTAAGCCATCATTTAAACATTGTTACTACATGTCAATTCAGTCAGTAAAGTGTAATGGTGATTTCGACATTCTGTGGATTCATTTATTTTCTTCTAAAAACCAATTGTTTTTGGGTTGAGCAAAAGAAGTATTTTCATCTCTACTAACTTTGTGGGTTCCGACAATGTCTACATGTAAGCATATACTAAGAAATTTGTATTTTGTAGAACATTAGCCACACAATCCATGACTGTTGGTACACCCTGAATAAAAATGAATTCACAATATTTCTCTGAATAGATATAAGAAGATGTGGTATGAGTGCCAATGAGACAACTCTCCATCCAAGTCAAAATTTATAAAAGTAAACCATTATAGGTCACAGTACTGTCTTCAACACGGAGCCTTGGCTCACACCAAACAGTAAGCTATAAAGGGCCCCAAAAATTAGTGTAAAACCATTCAAACGGGAAAACCAACGGTCTAATCTATATAAAAAACGAGAAATGAGAAACACTTATGAACCACATCAACAAACAACAACTACTGAACATCCGATTCCTGACTTAGGACAGGTGCTAAAGCATAGAATAAAATTATATGATGTGTTTCCAGTTACAGTCAGATACATTCTTTTATGTATGGCTTGACTGTTAATATTCAATAATTGCTTTAGGATTAGGACAAAGTACAAGGGTTTTGGGTCCAACCCCTGCAGCCTCCCTGTCTAACAACAAACTTACTTTTGATAAATAGAAAACAATGTACAATTGTTGTCCATCATCTCTTTCTCTTCATAATACAATATAATCCATGATGTCCTGTACGGCCATTGTTCTATTATGTTGATCCATGATGCCAGACGGTACCAACTAAAATCTATGTTGTATGCTCTCAACAAACGACCTGAAAAAAAAATATATATATAAACAAAAAAAAAATGTGTTCTACTTTTGAAAGGCTAATGCTGTAAGGCCTAATATGGAAGTCTAATGTTAATCCCATACGTAAGCAGGAAAGTCATTTGTTTTCTACTCTAGGAAGGATAATGCTTTGAGGCCTAATATGGAAGTCCTGAGGTTAATCCCATAACATGTAATTCTATGCAACTGTCATACAAGTGAGAGGTTTAGCTAGCTATAACACCAGGTTTTAAAAATAATCCACCATTTTCTACATAAGGAAATGTCTGTACCAAGTCAGGAATATGACAGTTGTTTCCCATTCATTTGATGTGTTAGAGCTTTTAATTTTGCCATTTCATAAAGGACTTTCTGTTTTGAATTTCCCTTTGAGTTTGGTATTTTTGTTATTTTACTTTTTGTTATAGTAGGCATAGTAGGCCACACAAATATTTGAAGTTCCCATCTTTACAAGTAAAAATCGTGAAAAATAGTAAACTAAATGCAGAATTCTGGCTTTATAATTCATGCTGCAGTCAATTTTGTTATAAAAACTTATTAAATATTGATTCATCAAATTAGAAAAAAAATAAAACAAAATTTACTTGCCTGTAACTGCAACGATATTTAGCAGTCTCCTCATACTACGTGGGTTAACATCACTAAAGTAGTCATTCTTGCTGAAGAGATTTCCTGTGATATCAAAGTTTGATGTTCCTGCTATTGACAGACTGTCAGACCGACCTTGCTTCCTCCGGCTCTTCTTTCTCATCTCATACACAGTTGTAGAAACAGTCGACTCCTGATGCTGGACTGACTGAAATTTTAAAACGAAAATCAATTTCTTCTTCAACATGCAATTTTGTTCCCATGAATAGATGAATTGAAAAGGCACGGGGTTGTAAATCATGTAAATAAATTTAAGTATAAGGGCAGTTTCATTCAAGTTTTCTTGTTTGAATTGTTTTACAGTTGTCATTTTAGGGCCTTTTATAACTTACTATGCAGAACCAGTCAGGTTGTTGTCTCTTTGACACATTCCCCATTTCCATTCTCAATTTTATTGCTCATTGTTGAAGGTGTAAGGTGACCTATAGTCGTTAACTTCTATGTCCATGATGTCATTTGGTCTCTGTTAGAGGGTTGTCTAATTGGCAATCATACCACAATTCTTCTTATTTTTATATGGTACCAAGGGATGGCACTTTCAAAATGGGGTTACCACCTATAGAGGCAAACTTAGAGTTCAGTTATATTTTCAATGAGGCAGCAACCCAATGACACAAAAAACAAAAGCAAAAGTAATCAACATCAGATGTGACAAGATTTTATACATGGTTAATTCAACTGTTCATCAATATGGCAATACCAACCTTTGGCCTGGTTTCTGAAACATCATACTGTGAGAAGCCTTTCGTCATGGTCTGTTTAGGTATAGCCATTCCCTGGCTTTGTAAGTAGAATGGAAGATGTACAACATTCCGTAAATAATCAAACCCATTTACATTCGTATCTACAAATGACGTCTTTATATTGCTCTCAATTCCTTTTATAATTATTTGAGGATCTACGGCTAAAATTGTGATAAATGGAGAGTCTTCGTCAGAAAATAAAGTTTTAATCGTATCTAAAACTTGTAACACTTTATCTTGTTCACAGCTATCTAAACCATCGACAACAACTACCAGTCTGGTCTGATTTTCGGTAAATCCATCCATGCTTGTCACCATTTTAGCCATGATGTCAACTTCAAGTTTCAATTTGTGCATCAATCCATCTAACTTGATCTTGTCTAGTTGTGACCCGGCATTCATCACACGTCTCTTCTGTGACCAAACGACCGCTATGAATGCCTGCCCCCACGTAAATATATTGAGGAAGAAAGCACCACCTATTATCACAGAAAATACAATCAACGTCACAAACACTGGTATATTACTACTGATTTTTACTCCGAAGTCTGTGGTTGTCACATTTTTAATTGGATCAAAATACACATCATCGTCTTTGGCAAAAGTAACTAACATGGCCACGCCCACTTCTAAACATATCAGAACTATATACAAATAAACAAAATATGGTACACAGCAAAACGTCTTGAATCTTCCAGTATAGGTATCTGAAATATAACAAAACAAGATGAGTAAATTGTCGTCCAGTTACACAATAGACTTTTTAAAATATAAATACATGTATAAGGAGAAGTGGGGTATATGACATTTGACGGAAACTCAACACAAAAATATCAAAGTGATTGTTAGCACTGAAGGGTAAAGATTGCATTCATTATGCAGTGGGAACTAAAAAATAAACATTATTTGCAATATAATTAGCATGGGAAGGCAATACTATAAATTGGGAGTCAAATATTGAAGTTGGTTCAACTACAATTGTGGACAAAGGAAGATAACTCTAATCTTAAATGTTACTTTAACAATGACAACATTGGCACCATGCACAATTTACGTAGTTTTCTTGACAAGTATGATAATACACATCATTTTGTTACTTGAAGGATATATTTCATTGATAAATTTCTTGAAAAGTTCATGGATAGGATGTATGGAATGTTTCACTCAATGCATTATAGTTTTTCTTATACTTAAAAGTAGTGCTAAAGGCTGGAAAATTGATAAATGCATGCATGCAATCTTTATTCCCAAAAAATGATTGTTGTGAAAAATTACAGCAGTAACATTAAAGTAGCTACTGTATGTTGTTACCACATTTAAATAGGAATGACACATGTGAGAGGGTCTTGATGGGGTTTACAGAAAAAAGAATAATGGGCAAAAAGTGCAGAATAATGACAAAAAATTTGACGAATTGAGAAAACTAGTCAAAAAATAATTAAAGAATACAGAATAATGGGGTGCTAAATTATAAAGAATAGAGAATAATGGGCAAAAGTAATTAAAGAACCTTAGTGAGCGCGCTCACATACCCCACGTCCTCACATTGTCATTGGAGAAATAAAATATGTGTAAGAAAAAAAAATTGAATCATAATTTCCTGTCAATATGCAGACCTACATAGTATGTCCTTATTATCTACAAAGTTTCATGAAATTATGTTGTGTGGTTTCAGAGGAGTTGCGATGAAAAACTGTTGCAGAAGACATTGAAGCAAATAAGTTCAAAGGGGCGTAACTCCTAGAAAAAATATTGAATCATAATTTCCTGTCGATATGCACATCTACATAGTATGACCTTATTATCTACAAAGTTTCATGGAATTCTGTTGTGTGGTTTCAGAGGAGTTGTGATGACAACCTGTTGCAGTAGTACATTGAAGCAAATAAGTTCAAAGGGGTGTAACTCCTAGAAAAAAAATTGAACCGTAATTTCCTGTCGATATGCACATCTACATAGTATGTCCTTATTATCTAAAAAGGTTTCATGAAATTCTGTTGTGTGGTATCAGAGGAGTTGCGATGACAAACTGTTGCAGTAGTACATTAAAGTAAATAAGTTCAAAGGGGCGTAACTCCTAGAAAAAAAATTGAACCGTAATTTCCTGTCAATATGCACATCTACATAGTTTGTCCTTATTATCTAAAAAGGTTTCATGAAATTCTGTTGTGTGGTATCAGAGGAGTTGCGATGACAAACTGTTGCATAGTACATTGAAGCAAATAAGTTCAAAGGGGCGTAACTCCTAGAAAAAAAATTGAACCGTAATTTCCTGTCGATATGCACATCTACATAGTATGTCCTTATTATCTAAAAAGGTTTCATGAAATTCTGTTGTGTGGTATCAGAGGAGTTGCGATGACAAACTGTTGCAGTAGTACATTAAAGTAAATAAGTTCAAAGGGGCGTAACTCCTAGAAAAAAAATTGAATCGCAATTTCCTGTCGATATGCACAACTACATAGTATGTCCTTATTATCTAAAAAGGTTTCGTGAAATTCTGTTGTGTGGTTTGAGAGGAGTTGCAATGACAAGAAACAGGACTGACGGACTGACGGACGGACAGACGGACGGACGGACGGACGGGTCAAAAACATTATACCCTCCGCAACTCGTTGCATGGGGTATAATAATGAATAGAGAAAAATGGCTTAAAAAATCAAAGCATACAGAATTGAAGGATCCCCATCCAGACCGTCATATATATATAATTTAAAAGGAACAGTCCTATACTAACTTGTAGTGTCTGCTTCCTTTTTAAACACCCTGAACAGACGTGCTACGAGGGTACCATATTCCTGTTCTAAACTATCCCCGAGTGTCCCAATCATTGATGCCAAGGCTTTTTCACCACCAACACTTGTTAATCTTGTACTCTCGCTAAATAAAAACCTGAAACACACAAATAAAAAAAATTCAGATTATAATACTAAATACTATTACTATAGATTCGTTATTATTCGTGGTGTACCAATTTTCATTAACTTCATGGGCATCAGTGTTGTCCCTAAGGCTCCTTAGCATCATGCTAATGTGATGCTTTATTGTTTGAATGCGATGCTATCTGAAATTTAGCTCCGACGGTATCAATTGGTGATTTGATGGTCGCAAATCAAGTTTACTGGCGATGTGTTAGCGGAGCCAGTAAACAGGTATTTGAGACCATCAAATCACCAATTGATGCTGTCGGAGCTGAAAATACAATATTGTTATCACCATTCTAATGAAACTGACAGAAAACAATGTCAAATCATACATTTAAAATCTGTCATTTGTCGTCTGCGCTTGCGCGTATGTTTTCATAGCATCAATTGTGAATTGATGCCATGAAAATTGGTGACGTTATCTAATCAAAATGATTGTTATAAACAATGTTGCATTAGAATATTTTATTACAGATTGTGTTTTGGATGTGGTATTTCATAATTCCCTGTTTACTATGATGCTATATGACATTTGTGGGGAGGACACTGTGTATACGGAAACCATGAACTTAAATGTTCAACTAGTTTAAATTTTCAATATGCTTGTATACAAATACCAAGAAAATACATTTTTTCCTCTATCTACAAAAATTGGTACCAACAAATATAAATACACAAATGAATACAGTATTTTTTCATAAATTGTTCTGATATTGCTGACAAAATAATAGCTATAAATATGTACTCAACAAATTTCAAAGTTGATTCAATAAAATACAATGAATTTCTAGACAGCAACTGTTGAGTCAAAAACGTACTATTGATCAATCAATCAAATATATTACAGTTTTTTGCTCCGTGTTGAAGGCCTCACTGTGACTTTGAGATGAAGAGCTGTTCCTTTGCTCTTTGCCTGTTTTTTTTGCTGTGCATGTACTGATTTTGTGTCATGGATGGATACCCCATATCCTTTGTTTTTCTATTATAATCACACATGAATGCATATCTAAGGACAATTTAGAGCTTTTGTATATCTATTGTTGAAGACTGTATAGTGCCCTCTAGAGGTCTTTTTTTCGGTGTGTTGCTTTCTCACGGACTTTCGCCCAACATCTAATTCCATTCTTATTAAACACAGTCTGTAAATTCAGAAACTATTGCGAAAATTGTGACAGGATAGGTGTCACAAAAATAATATCTTGCATTTTAATCTTGATACACGTAGTTAGCTCAATGTCCACATAGGTATCAGAAAAACTCTTGTTTATAAGCACTGAATCAATACATATTTGTACTGCTGGCTTGCTATCTTATCAATCATCAAATTTTAACAAAAATTTTTCTTACATCTTTCTCATTTTAATCAGCCACTCAAGAGTTCTAATGAAAAAGTTCATTCATGTGTTTATTTTATTTTTTGTGAGTGCATAAACAGTACACAGCATTTTTCTTTTTGATCGATACAGAATGTATGTATATAAAGACATGTGTCTTAACCACACTCTGCACATACTGAATCCCTGTTTAAACTGAGGTCATGTACCAGAAAATACATTACAATTTACAGAAGAATGTGCCTTAAGCGAACACTGCATAAACTGAATCCCTGTTTGTTATTTTTTTATGTGCATAAATAAAACACAGTATTTTTTGGTCTTTGACCCTGAGATAAAAAAAACCCAGACAAATGTGCTTAAAACAAACAATGCTTAACTGAATCCCTGTTTAAACTGTAGAGGTTATGTACCAGAAAATACATTAATATTAGGTAAGTGTAGACAGGTTTCACCATATTTTACTTACTTAACAGTTGGTACATCTACTTTCTTGGCAGAGGATGGCTTTGGATTACAGAACAACACCTTGATGAGTAATGTCAATGATCTCAATTCTTTTCCCAGCACTAGGCTGATATTGTTTAATATTCTAAAGTTGTTTTTCCGCACCAGTACAAAGATGGCAGCTGTTAAAGAGATTACAGTGTATACATTTTTAGACAAAAAAGAAAAAAATCTATTTTAGTACATTTAACAGTGCTGAAAGTTCAATCAGACTGACCTTTTCAAGTCTTGGTAGCCTATTACTTTATAAACTATAAAAAAACACACAAAAAATAAACCAGTGACCTCCATTACCCCAACTCCCCCCTTTATAAAGTTGAGGCAAAGTCAATGTTTTGCTGTGAAAAAATGCAATCATATTTCAGTATTTTTTTTAAAATAAAGAAAAATAAAATGCTCCGCAGGGCGCAGCTTGATACGACCACAGAGGTCGAACCCTGAACAGTTGGGGCAAGTATGGACACAACATTCAAGCTTGATACAGCTCTGAATTTGGATTGTGATTAAATATTTGACACAGCATAGGTTTCTGACACAGAATGAATGTGGTCTAAGAACTTAAAAATTTTAAATTGGACATTCACCTATTATGGTCCAATATCCAAAATCTAAATACATGGTTAGATTCAGCATATCAAAGAACCCCAAGAATTCAATTTTTGATGAAATCAAACAAAGTTTAATTTTGGACCCCGATTTGGACCAACTTGAAAACTGGGCCCATAATCAAAAATCTAAATACATGTTTAGATTCAGCATATCAAAGAACCCTAAAAATTCAATTTTTGTTAAAATCAAACTAAGTTTAATTTTGGACCCTTTGGACCTTAATGTAGACCAATTTGAAAACGGAACCAAAAATTAAGAATCTAAATACACGGTTAGATTCGGCATATCAAAGAACCCCAATAATTCAATTTTTGATGAAATCAAACAAAGTTCAATTTTGGACCCTTTTGACCTCAATGTGGACAAAGTTGATAACGGGGCCCAAAAATCAAAAATCTAAATACATGGTTAGATTCAGCATATCAAAGAACCCCATATATTCAATTTTTGTTGAAATCAAACAAAGTTTAATTTTGGACCCCGATTTGGACCAACTTGAAAACTGGGCCCATAATAAAAAATCTAAATACATGTTTAGATTCAGCATATCAAAGAACCCTAAAAATTCAATTTTTGTTAAAATCAAACTAAGTTTAATTTTGGACCCTTTGGACCTTAACGTAGACCAATTTGAAAACGGAACCAAAAATTAAGAATCTAAATACACGGTTAGATTCAGCATATCAAAGAACCCCAATAATTCAATTTTTGATGAAATCAAACAAAGTTAAATTTTGGACCCTTTGGACCTCAATGTGGACCAATTTAAAAACGGGGCCCAAAATCCAAAAACTTAATACACGGTTAGATTCAGCATATTAAAGAACCCCAAGAATTCAAGAATAAAACCCCATTGAAATTGATCAAGAAATAAGCAATTTATACGAAGTATCTTCTTTTGCACAATACTGTGCAATTGAATATTTCTTGCTATTGCGCAATACTGTACAATTGACAATTTCTTGCTGTTGCGCAATATTGTGCTATTGGATATTTCTTGCTATTGCGCAATACTGTGCAATTGAAGATTTCTTGCTATTGCGCAATACTGTGCAATTGAAGATTTCTTGCTATTGTGCAATACTGTGCAATTGAAAATTTCTTGCTATTGCACAATACTTATTAGATAATAATTTACACATCCTGTTTGGTGTGTATCTCCTACCATATCATTATTATTTGCTTTTAAATATTAATCAGAAATAACCAACTTAAAATGGAAAATTTTAAAAGAAAACTAGAGGCTCTCAAGAGCCTGTGTCGCTCACCTGACTCTACTTTGGTTTTAGAAATCATGTAAAGATAGATAAAAATCATAACAGATACCCAAATAATGATTGAGGCCAAATTTTGATTAATATTGGTCCCGTTATTTAATAAAATATCCTGGTGGCCATCTTGAACAGTAAATCGGCAACAAAGTAGCAACACTTGGTCAGCACTTCATAAGGAACATTCATGCCATGTTTGGTTTCATTCCATTCAGTGGTACTCTAAAAGAAGACATTTGTATGTATTTCCCATAGGGTCCTATGTTAAACTAAGCCCCCCCCCCCCTAGCGGCCATCTTGGATGATGGATCGACTGCAAAGTAACAACACTTGGTCAGCAACTCATAAGGAACATTCATGCCATGTTTGGTTCAATTCCATTCAGTGGTTCTCTAAAAGAAGACAATTGTATGTATTTCCCATAGGGTCCTATGTTAAACTAAGTCCCCCGCTGTCGGCCATCTTGGATGATGGATCGGCTGCAAAGTAACAACACTTGGTCAACATCTCATAAGGAACATTCATGCCATGTTTGGTTCCATTCCATTTATTGGTTCTCTAAAAGAAGACATTTTTATGTATTTCCCAAAGGGTCCTATGTAAAACTAAGTCCCCCGCTGGGGGCCATCTTGGATGATGGATCGGCTACAAAGTAACAACACTTGGTCAGCATCTCATAAGGAAGATTCATGCCATGTTTGGTTTCATTCCATTCAGTGGTTCACTAAAAGAAGACATTTGTATGTATTTCCCATAGGGTCCTATGTTCAACTAAGTCCCCCGCTGGCGGCCATCTTGGATGATGGATCGACTGCAAAGTAACAACACTTGGTCAGCAACTCATAAGGAACATTCATGCCATGTTTGGTTCAATTCCATTCAGTGGTTCTCTAAAAGAAGACAATTGTATGTATTTCCCATAGGGTCCTATGTTAAACTAAGTCCCCCGCTGTCGGCCATCTTGGATGATGGATCGGCTGCAAAGTAACAACACTTGGTCAACATCTCATAAGGAACATTCATGCCATGTTTGGTTCCATTCCATTTATTGGTTCTCTAAAAGAAGACATTTTTATGTATTTCCCAAAGGGTCCTATGTAAAACTTAGTCCCCCGCTGGGGGCCATCTTGGATGATGGATCGGCTACAAAGTAACAACACTTGGTCAGCATCTCATAAGGAAGATTCATGCCATGTTTGGTTTCATTCCATTCAGTGGTTCACTAAAAGAAGACATTTGTATGTATTTCCCATAGGGTCCTATGTTCAACTAAGTCCCCCGCTGGCGGCCATCTTGGATGATGGATCGGCTACAAAGTAACAACACTTGGTCAGAACCTCATAAGGAACATTCATGCCATGTTTGGTTTCATTCCATTCAGTGGTTCTCTAAAAGAAGACATTTGTATGTATTTCCCATAGGGTCCTATGTTAAACTAAGTCCCCCGCTGGCGGCCATCTTGGATGATGGACTGACTGCAAAGTAACAACACTTGGTCAGCATCTCATACGGAACATTCATGCCATATTTGGTTCCATTCCATTCAGTGGTTCTCTAAAAGAAGACATTTTTATGTATTTCCCATAGGGTCCTATGTTAAACTAAGTCCCCCACTGGCGGCCATCTTGGATGATGGATCGGCTACAAAGTAACAACACTTGGTCAGCACCTCATAAGGAACATTCATGCCATGTTTGGTTCAATTCCATTCAGTGGTTCTCTAAAAGAAGACATTTGTATGTATTTCCTATAGGGTCCTATGTTAAACTAAGTACCCCGCTGGGGGCCATCTTGGATGATGGATCGGCTACAAAGTAACAACACATGGTCAACACCTCATAAGGAACATTCATGCCATGTTTGGTTTTATTCCATTCAGTGGTTCTCTAAAAGAAGTCATTTGTATGCATTTCCCATAGGGTCCTATGTTAAACTAAGTCCCCCGCTGGCGGCCATCTTGGATGATGGATCGGCTAAAAAGTAACAACACTTGGTGAGCACCTCATAAGGAACATTCATGCCATGTTTGGTTTTATTCCATTCAGTGGTTCTCTAAAAGAAGTCATTTGTATGCATTTCCCATAGGGTCCTATGTTAAACTTAGTCCCCCGCTGGCGGCCATCTTGGATGATGGATCGGCTACAAAGTAACAACACTTGGTCAGCACCTCATAAGGAACATTCATGCCATGTTTGGTTTCATTCCATTCAGTGGTTCTCTAGAAGAAGTTCAAAATGTAAAAAGTTAACGCCGACGACGGACGACGCCGGACGCCAAGTGATGAGAAAAGCTCACTTGGCCCTTCGGGCCAGGTGAGCTAAAAAAAAGGAAAAAAAGAAAAAAAAAAAATCCCCCCCCAAATTTTTTGAACCCCCTTATGATTCATCACCCCCAAACTCAATCCTAGCCTTCCCTTTGTGGTATGGTACCTTGCAGTACAATTTCAGAGAGATCCATACACTTGAACACAAGTTATTGTCTGGAAACTAGAAAAATGCTTATTTTTGGCCCCTTTTTGGCCCCCAATTCCTAAACGTTTCGGGCAATTACCCCCAAACTCAATTCCAGCTTTCCCTTTGTGATATGGAACCTTGTAGTACAATTTCAGAAATATCCAAACACTTACACACAAGTTATTGTCATGAAACTAGAAAAATGCTTGTTTTTTGCCCCTTTTTCGGCCCCTAATTCCTAAAATTTTGAGGCAATTACCCCCAAAATCAATTACAGCCTTTCCTTTGTGATATGGAACCTTGTGGTACAATGTCAGAGAGATCCATACACTTACACACAAGTTATTGTCTGGAAGTTACAAAAATGCTTATTTTTGGCCCCTTTTTGGCCCCTAATTCCTTAACTGTTGGTACCATAACCCCCAAAATCAATCCCAACCTTCCTTTCGTGGTATTGAACCTTATGGTAAAATTTCATGGAGATCCATTCTCTTAAACTAAAGTTAGAGTGCGAAAACCAATGTGTCTTCGGACGACGCCGGACGACGCAAGACGACGACAACGACGACGACGACGCCGGACGACGACGACGCCAACGTCATACCAATATACGACCAAAAAATTTTTAATTTTTGCGGTCGTATAAAAATGTTTAAGAGGATGTTTGAAGTTTAATTATATTTATTTTTAACAATTATTTGAACATTCTATACTTATATATAATTAGTTTGCTAGATAAATATTTGAGCTGCGTTGGATATAAATCAACCTTATGCAAGTACACGTATACATATACTAGTATATTAGACTTTGATTGATTTTGCTACATTCAAATACGAAATAAAAGATGAATTTGGGTCTGTTTTGTAGGATTTTTATATCAACTCAATTTTCAGACATTTACAGACTCTGCACAGAGATTTTTTTGAACCGAAAATAGCTTTACAGATGTGATAATATTCATTTGCATAAGGTCTATTTCTATCCGACGTAGCTCATTTTAAACAAGAATAGTTTAGATGTCAAACTATATGGCATGCCTACTTTCTTATGGGTGTGTTTTTAGTTGTGTTTTTTTCTTCTTAATTACTGGTTGGTAGGTTTTGAATATTTGAATTGATTCAGATAAAACCAAATAAAATGCTTCGCTGGGGCGCAGCTTGATACGACCGCAGAGGTCGAACCCTGAACAGTTGGGGCAAGTATGGACACAACATTCAAGCTTGATACAGCTCTGAATTTGGATTGTTATTAAATATTTGACACAGCATAGGTTTCTGACACAGAAAGAATGTGGTCTAAGAACTTGAATTCAGCATATCAAAGAACACCATATATTCAATTTTTGTTAAAATCAAACAAAGTTTAATTTTGGACCCCAACTTGGACAAACTTGAAAACTGGGCCCATAATCAAAAATCTAAACACATGTTTAGATTCAGCATATCAAAGAACCCCAAGAATTCAATTTTTGCTAAAATCAAACTAAGTTTAATTTTGGACCCTTTGGACCTTAATGTAGACCAATTTAAAAAACGGGACTTAAAATTAAAAATCTAAATACACGGTTAGATTTGGAATATCAAAGAACCCCAATAATTCAATTTTTGATGAAATCAAACAAAGTTTAATTTTGGACCCTTTTGACCTCAATATGAACCAATTTGATAGCGGGGCCCACAAATAAAAACTCTAAATTCATGGTTAGATTCAGCATATCAAAGAACCCCATATATTCAATTTTTGTTGAAATCAAAAAAAGTTTAATTTTGGACCCCAACTTGGACCAACTTGAAAACTGGGCCCATAATCAAAAATCTAAATACATGTTTAGATTCAGCATATCAAAGAACCCCAAGAATTCAATTTTTATTAAAATCAAACTAAGTTTAATTTTGGACCCTTTGGACCTCAATGAAGACCAATTTAAAAAACGGGACCCAAATTAAAAATCTAAAACACGGTTAGATTTGGCATATCAAAGAACCCCAATAATTCAATTTTCGATGAAATCAAACAAAGTTTAATTTTGGACCCTTTTGACCTCAATATGAACCAATTTGATAGCGGGGCCTACAAATAAAAAATCTAAATACATGGTTAGATTCAGCATATCAAAGAACATCATATATTCAATTTTTGTTGAAATCATACAAAGTTTAATTTTGGACCCCAATTTGGACCAACTTGAAAACTGGGCCCATAATCAAAAATCTAAATACATGTTTAGATTCAGCATATCAAAGAACCCCATATATTCAATTTTTGTTGAAATCAAACAAAGTTTAAATACTGGACCCTATCTTGGACCAACTTGAAAACTGGGCCCATAATCAAAAATCTAAACACATGTTTAGATTCAGCAAATCAAAGAACCCCAAGAATTCAATTTTTGTTAAAATCAAACTAAGTTTAATTTTGGACCCTTTGGACCTCAATGTAGACCAATTTAAAAAACAGGACCCAAAATTAAGAACCTAAATACACGGTTAGATTTGGAATATCAAAGAACCCCAATAATTCAATTTTAGATGAAATCAAACAAAGTTTAATTTTGGACCCTTTTGACCTCAATATGAACCAATTAGATAACGGGGTCCACAAATAAAAAATCTAAATACATGGTTAGATTCAGCATATCAAAGAACCCCATATATTCAATTTTTGTTGAAATCAAACAAAGTTTAATTTTGGACCCCAATTTGGACCAACTTGAAAACTGGGCCAAAAATCAAAAATCTAAATACATGTTTAGATTCAGCATATCAAAGAACCTCATATATTCAATTTTTGCTAAAATCAAACAAAGTTTAATTTTGGACCCTTTGGACATTAATGTAGACCAATTTGAAAACTGGACCCAAAATTAAAAATCTAAATACACTGTTAGATTCGGCATAACAAATAAATAAATGTGATCAAAGATTTTACAAATCTAATGCGCCATACTGTGCAATTAAAGATTACTTCTTGAAATTTTTCAATATTTGAAATTTGAAAAAAAAATAATATTTGAAGAATAATTCTTTTTAATTTCTGAAATCTGAAATGAGAAAAAATTGGCCCCCCACAATTTCTTTTTATCCCCCCCCCTTTTTCCCCCAAAAAAATTCTTTCCCTCAAGATATGGTCATAATCTCAATTCAAATTTCCAATGGAGTTGGCAACCATAATTACCCATTTAAATTTACCATAGTGCTAACTTAATCTATTTTATAATAGAATTAATAAAAAAATATAGTGTCAAATCTTTCATATGGATTTTTTTGTAAAAAAAAAAGATGAAAAAATTTGCAGATATTTTTACTGGTCTTCCTTTATAAATATGCATTTCTTTAAACATAATTTAAAAGCAGAGTAAGGGAAGTAACTAAAACGTTGTATTTGGATTACCTCCCTTACACTGTTTTAGATTATCTTTATTGTTCATTAACCATTACTTTATACATAATTTAAAAGCAGTGTAAGGGAGATAATTTCAATGATGTATTTGATTTATCTCCCTTACACTGCTTTAAATTATGTTTTGTACTAAAGTATTTGTCCATTAACCAGGACAACCTTGTTTTTCCCCCTTTTTTGCCCCTAATTCCTAAACGGTTTTAGCCATAACCCCCCAAAGCAAATCCTAACCATCCCTTTGTGGTATGGAAACTTGTAGTATAATTTCAGAGAGATCCATACACCGTTCCACAGTTATTGTCTGGAAACTAGAAAATGCTCATTTTTGGCCCCTTTTTGGCCCCTAATTCCTTAACTGTTGGTACCATAACCCCCAAAATCAATCCCAACCTTCCTTTTGTGGTATTTAACCTTATGGTCAAATTTCAAAAAGATCCATTCACTTAAACTAAAGTTAGAGTGCGAAAACCAATATGTATTCGGACGACGACGCCGGACGACGACGCCGGACGACGACGACGACGACGACGACGACGCCAACGTCATACCAATATACGACCACAAAATTTTTTTGCGGTCGTATAAAAAAACAAAAACAAAAAACAAAACAACAGACATGGCCGAAGCAAAAATCAAATAAAATGAGTTCATATGAAAGTATAATACACGTTGATTTTGTATTTCATTGTTTTTGTGTCTCATTAATGTACATACAACCTTTTCTATTTAATCTTTTTTGTTACCAAATATCATAGAATTTTACCTACCTAAAAATCCATATTCCAGAGCAAACAGGCCAAGACCTACTCCCAGACCAATCTGCCATTGAACAGCTAACGCTAAAGTCAGACCTATAACATTGTTAATCAGTAACAAGAAAAAGAATAAAGGCCAGCAAAATGTAAAATGTTCATCTTCACTGGCTCTAGTAAAAGATTTCATCTCCTCTGAAAAAAAGAAAAACATTTTGTTTTGTTTGTTAATTTTTATGTCATATGGGAGATAACTCCTGGATATTTGAATTTTGTTTAAAATCAAATCAAACTGGAAATATCCTTTTAACCTAAATCTTTACTTCTAGTGTTTTCTGACTTAAATAGACTAAAATATGCCTTTTTCAGGATAGTCAAATTGTAAATTCATTTTTTATGTTATTTATTGTTATGCTGTGTACTATATAATTTATTTTTTTTTAAATTTAAAGATTTTTCATCTTTTAGAAGATCTTTTTCTATTCAAATACAATACTGCATCTTTTCAGGTCAAGTTTATTAACTCTATCGGGTGTAAAGCAAGTACTTTTTTTAACACTTACTACATACTTTTTTTTTATTATTTTCTTTTCCAACATCAAAATAATTATTTTTTTCAATTTCCTGATAGAATTGTTTTCAAAATCAACAATAAAACTATAAAGTCCAGCAAACTTTTTGACCTCATACATGTTGAAAAATGCCTACACTAAACATGTTTGTCTTTGAGTAATTTGTTTTGTTCCTAAATCTTCTCTTCTCTGCTCACATATTTTGGTTAGAATTTCAGTCCTTTTCACATCTTTCCTTTTGTACTTGATTTTATTTAGCCCTACAAAGCTATTCTAAGGATAAGACCTAATGTTAACCATTCACAACCATACAGCAAGCTTTATATGTTTCTTTTTGCGTTAGGCCAAAAATAAAATTTAAATTGTTTGATGTTGCCAACCTACCCACCTAAAAACATGAAAAAGCAGCCAACCTGAAAAATTTTAATGACACAAATCGTTTCAATTTTTTTTTCAAAGATTTTTTCCTGCACTTAAATTGTTTTCTTGTCTAAAACATGTAACTTATTTTGTTGGCCAAAAAAAAACCCTTCCTACCTACCTACCTACCCAACCCCACAAGTCGTAGGTCGGCAACATCAAACAAAGAATTTTTTAAGGGTGGTCTTGTATATACTCACTCTGAAGTTTTCCTAACAGAAAAGATTTGCCACTCCCCCATTTGGCATATAATCCTACTGTGATTGGCGTGTTGAGGGAGGGGTCACTGAGAATATCAGCCAATGCACTGCTGTATATATCGTAACCAAGGAGATTTTCCCCATCAGCTGCATTCAAATTTCCTATAAAACATACAAATAAATAAATAAAGAGAAATTATAATTTATAGCATCTCAATTGTGTTGTTTAATTCTATTTTTTCTTATATGAATTTTTATTGAAAAAATATTAACTGCCTGCCTGTTTGAGTACATATTTTCTTGACAAATCTGAGATTGCTTTATCCCAATCATGCATGATTTATGCAAAACATTTTCTTGAAAGCCTATTATAAATGTATAATACATGTTTCTTTCACATAAACTTTCAAGAAACTCTTTTTGTCAGAATGTGCACAAAAAAAAATATAAATATCTTGAATATTTACTTTACAAATGATTAATTTGTTGCAATGTCAGATTTGGATAAACAGAGAGCATTTGACATTCCCTGTTTGTTTAACAGTAATTCCATCAACTTACAATACCCAAACATTGTGACTAAATCCCCATGCAATAATAAGCCTCTATTTGATATGGCGTGTCTCCAGCTTCATTAGGTACATACCCTATTGTCACAATTGTACTTACGATGTCAATAGATTTGTGACAGAATTCCCTTTTGATGGTAAGCCTCTATTTGATATGGCTCCTCTCCAGCTTCATTAGGTACAAACCCTATTGTTATATTTGTACTTACGATGTCCATAGATTTGTGACAGAATTCCCTTTTGATGGTAAGCATCTATTTGATATGGCGTCTCTCCCGCCTTATTAGGTACATACCCTATTGTTACATTTGTACTTACGATGTCCATAGATTTGTGACAGAATTCCCTTTTGATGGTAAGCATCTATTTGATATGGCGTCTCTCCAGCTTCATTAGGTACAAACCCTATTGTTATATTTGTACTTACGATGATCATAGATTTGTGACAGAATTCCCTTTTGATGGTAAGCATCTATTTGATATGGCGTGTCTCCCACCTTATTAGGTACATGTACATACCCTATTGTCACATTTGTACTTACGATGTCCATAGATTTGTGACAGAATTCCCTTTTGATGGTAAGCATCTATTTGTTATGGTGTCTCTCCAGCCTTTTTAAGTACATACCCTATTGTTACATTTGTACTTACGAAGTCCATAGATTTGTGACAGAATTCCCTTTTGATGGTAAGCCTCTATTTGATACAGCGTGTCACCTGCCTTACTAGGTACATACCCTATTGTTACATTTGTACTTACGATGTCCATAGATTTGTGACAGAATTCCCTTTTGATGGTAAGCATCTATTTGATATGGCGTCTCTCCCGCTTTATTAGGTCTGTATAACAGTCGACTATTCCTAGGATTTCTAAGTAGTAGTTCTGTGATCTTTTTACTCCTCCCTCTGATAGCTATATGTAATGCAGTATCTCCTTTCTACAAAATAGTTTTGCAATTTTTCAAAGCTGTAATATTCAAACAGTGTTGTTAGTAAGTTAATAACTTTATAATTTGATTTTATACTTTGGTGTTTTTTTATTCAAATATTTTACACCTTTATACAGACCAATGGCAGTTAATTACATCTCCCCTATATATGAAACTTTCAGGGCTGTTCAGTTTAAACATACATGAAACCCATGGAAGGCACTTTTGAGATGAGGTAACCACCTTTAGAGGCAAACCTAGAATTTAACCTACATTTTCACTGTAATTAACACCCACCAAAAGTTGAGATTTGAAAGAGCCTTCTTTGGGTCCCATGTATATTTTTTATGAAATAACCCTAATTCACACTTTTAAATAAAGGCAACAGTAGTATACCGCTGTTCAATAAAACTATCTGTTGATCTTCCTTCACACTATAAATTCTGAATGAGATGTCTGCCCTTATTAATGCAAATCTTCGATCATTAACAATTTGATAATATCTAATGCAACAAGTGAAACTGTGAGCTACTGCTCACTGATGATACCCCCGCCCAAATACTTGATGGTGAACAGGAAATTGTTGAGTGATGAATCTGAAAATGCATCACACGGTATAGCTGACTTATATAAACCCTGAAACCAAATTTCAGAAATCCTTGTAGTGTAGTTCCTGAGAAAGATGCGACGAAAAATATTCATGGGACGGACGGATCGACAGACGGACAGACAGAGGTAAAACAGTATACCCTGACTTTTTTAAAGCGGGGGTATAATAAGAGTGTGTAGAAAATTGTTTGAAAAAATAAAATTATTAAAGAGTTTTTAAAATTCCTGGATTTTCATTGGTATTTTCTCATTTTTTGAAATGATAAGGTCACATCAATTATTGTATAAACAATAATATGACAATTCAATTTAAATGGAGCAAAGAAAGGAAAGTACTCTTCTTATATCATTGTTTTGAAATATAGTCCTAAAAACTTGTTCACTGGTAACTTACAACCCTTACAACTAAAGTTTGTATTTGGGGTGTCAACTACTATGTAACCACATTTTAAGAATAAATCTATACTAGAACACAAATCATATAAAGTTAAGTAAGTAGACTTTATAATATAGATTAAAATTCAATTCTTGATCAAATACTTCTGGATGCCTTCAAATAGATGAAGTTACACAAGACAGGCAATGACATAGAGATCCCAAAAATATTTACCAAAAATAACTACTCACTTTGTCAACAACAGAAATTTTGGCCTTTTTATCGAGTAACATTCTGAGTACGTCTTCATTCCTAGACCTAACAGCTCTCAATAACGCTGTATCACCATCCTACAACATAAATCAATTCATATTGTCTCCTTTTCTCTATTCAACATTATTATATCATTTTGAATAGAAATAAATGTTTTTAGACTGTCGACTCATTTATTTTAGTTGGTTAAATTTTTTGGATTGAAGAAAAATTATTTTTATGCTGATCCTTGATTTCGTGGTTTTATCTAGGTTTGCATACAACCCTTTAAGAAATTTGTACTATGTTGCCCATTTAAGGATGTTTGCTCCTCTTGTTTTTGAATTTTTGCCAGATATTCGGAATCCTCTAGTTTTATCCATGTAATGTCATTAAAAATGTTTTGCCCACAAACCCCTACTTTACTCTCCATAATATGATTACATATAGTTTGAAATGTCATCTTTGAAAATCTTGTAAAATCCTTGTTATTTTTTCATTGTTTTTGAAAGAAAACAGGTTCTAATGTTAAATGTACGAAAAATCTAGAGAGAATTATTTCCCGCCAAATTTTCAATGGCTTACATCTCGAAAACAAGCACATTGAGCCTTCATCTTTTTCTGCTTTTTTAGTTTCTTTACTTATATACTATCAACTTATAAAAGTCTTTTAAAAAGCTTGTTATTTTGAAACAGAGTAGCAAACATCCTTTGAATCATTGTTCATTTCTGTCTAGATTAAGCCCAATTTTAATCGTTTAATTTTTCCGAAAAGAGCTACTGTTTAGTAGTTGCCATTGCTTATTTCTGTTTTCTTTTTAGGACTTTAATGTTGGTGGGAGATTTTTTGGTTGTCAGTTGAATTTTTTGACAACTTTCCTAGATTTAGAGCTTGAAATATGTTATTAGTTATTTTGAAAATAATTGATTGATTTTTTTAAGGGGGAAATTACATAAATCTATTTATCTATATAATCTGCAACATTGAAAACATGAGTATCAAATCATTCCTCTTGCAATTATCAAATATTGATGTGTAAAAAACTGTCTAAAAATTTCTGTTTTCTCAAGAAAAAATCCATATCTATTATTGATGTCTGTAAAATTTCAAATGGTCAAAGGGAGACAACTTATGTGACCTTATGTTTTTGATTTCAATACAGGTTTTGCAAATTCATTAATAAGCTGATGTCTTTTTACAAAATGTAATATGATAGACATTAGGAGTTTTTTCTGCTCTATAAACAACATACTGTAAATTCAGAAATTATTGCGATGTTTTTATTATTGTGAAAAATGCGACAGGGTTATAATTACAATAATTTAAACTCGCATTTTGAAATTTTTTATATGAATTAAACAGGATTTTTCTCAATATCGCAAAAATTAAAATCACATTTTAGTCTCAAATGACAAAATCGCAATAATAAATGCACGCAATAATTTCTGAATTTAGAGTAATTAGTGGTCAGTATTACCAGATGCTCTCTAAAATGCCAACATGCTTCTTAAAATAATAGGCATTCAATAAAGCTGGTTTTCTACTTAAAAATACTCAATAATGAGTATTAATTAAAAACGTCCTTGGGTTATTGTCTTATTGACATTTACCATAAATTTGCTTTATTTCATATTAATTTTAACTTGTATATCAATGATTATGGATATTCAGAGTCCTCTCACCTTCTGCTAAAGAAAATATGTCTGAAGTCTGTATTTGTATCGTCAAACAGCTGATCATGATCTGATTGATATTTTTATAATTACCAGCTATTCTTACCTTTGTACAAATTTCTAGATCAGGATCACAATCCAACAGTAAATACACAATAGCTGTATGTCCTTTCTCTACTGCCCAGTATAATGCTGTTTTACCATCCTGTAAGTAAAAACTTTCATGTGAATCTTGTAAAAATCTGATACAAACAAAGCAAAAGCCATGAATACCAAACCAAGAGAGTAAATAAATACATGCAAATTGAACACCACAGATTTCAAACTAAAAGAATAGACAGTCAATGTTTAATGTTGTACAAAATCTCCTTTTACTTGTAATTTTCAGGAATTTCTTATAAACAAAAAAATACTGATCTGCTACTTTCATCACTGACAGATATAGACAGTTAAAATTGTTGAAATTAAAAGAAAATAACTACTGTCTGATTATCAAATATAAACTTACAGCGCCCTCTACATCAACATCAGCATATTTATTAATCAGAGCTCTGACCAGTTCTAGATGTCCACCTTTCACTGCATGGATCAGTATAGTATCTGAAGCCTGTGTGATATAATTCAAATTTAATTATTTATAATTCAGGCTTTTAAGAAAGTACAAATCAGAATGGAAGCATCAGTTCAAAATATATTGACCAGCACAAGATATCAGCAAGAGGTAAGGAAAGTTTTGAATGCAATGTTTTATTTACCTGTATATTGTTACGGTCTGTATAAATTTGCTTACAAATGTTTTTAAAAAGTCTTATGATGTTTAAAGTTCAACATGTTGTATGAATCATCTCCAAATGAAATCAATCTATCGACTGACATGGACTTAATCTTACATTATAAGCTCAAAATTTTAAATCAAGTTTTTTTTAGCAAAAAATATGTCTAAATGGGAAAACATTTGAAATATTGGTTGTTGTTGGATCTTCTTGGTGTATTTCTTATCTATTTTTGTGTCTTTCAAATAAACTGGTTTATATTCCATGCCACCAACTGGTTTATATTCCATGCCACCAAAGTAATTAGAAAAACAATCACCTCAATTTACATGCGTTTTATTTCCCTGTTGTACAAAACTTGAAGTGGTTGTCTGTCCTATCTTTCTTTTTATTTAAGTAATTTGGTGTCCAAGGCATATGTTTGATATTTTTTGTTTAATTTATTCACAACTTTTTTTTTTGAGTCTCAGAATAATTTAGAGCTTTAAATATGATTAAAAGAGATTTGTCCATTACTGAAGATTATCTCTATTTTGCATATTTTTCCTTTGATCTTTTTTTGTGATAATTTTTCATATCACAGTACTCGCTTGATATAGAAAAGTAATGTAAACATCAAAAACGTCATAGGCAAAATAGCGATAAATAGATTATCAATGGTCTTTCAAACTCGACAATGTTTCTCGTCCTTCGATGAGATTGTAGCAGAGAAATATCCTCTCGTTTGAAAAACCACCAAGAATCTATAATTATCGCTATTTTACGAATTTTTCCTTTGATCTTGCTGACTGATAATTTCCGTTTTCAGCGGAGTCGAGTGATATGAAAACTGAGTCCAGTGATATGAAAATTATCGCTAGAAACTATAAGGGAACACGTGCCGTTGTCCAGGAAATTAACAACGTCTTCATAGGTAAAATAGCGATAAACAGATTATCATTGGTCATCTCAACTCGATTGCTTTTCTCACTTTCGCAGTACGGGCTCAAGCGAGAAAATCAATCTTGTTGAGATAACCAATGATAATCTATAATTATACATTGCCCTCTTGAGGTTATTTGTGTCCTTTGACGTAAACACTTCTTTCATCCATATGTATTTCTTTCCTGCACAGCATCTCCTCCTTTCAAAAGTCCCATCTGCTAATAAGACTGATTACTGTAAATTCAGAAATTTTTGCGTGCATTTATTATTGCGACTTTGTCATTTTAGACTAAAATGTGATTTAAATTTTTGCGATATTGAGAAATTTCCTGTTTAATTCATATAAAAAATTTCAAAATGCGAGTTTTAATTTTTGCGATTATAACCCTGTCGCATTTTTCGCAATAATAAGAACATCGCAATAATTTCCAAATTTACAGTATTGACCATAGCTTAAATGAGCAGCATCTTTAAATATATACCTTATCAGCTATGTTAACATATGCTCCTTTAGACAACAATTCATGGGCTATGTCAGCAAAACCTTCTTTGGCAGCAATACATAGGGGAGTGAAACCATCCTGAAATATAAAAAGGTGCAACTTAGCATAAAGGTCAAGTCGAAGAAATTGAAGGAGTCTACAAAGGAGTATATTCGATTAGGCGCTAATATGGTTCCTATTTCTAGCTTAATTTTCAAATTATAATTAATAGACATTTGATTTTCTACCTCAGGAATAGACAACCTTAGCTGTACCTTTGTAGAAAAAACATGCATCTGGCGTACCAAATTTTAAGCCTTGTGTCTCTAATGATATTTTTTTTACATTGGTTGCAATGAAATACTGTAATTTTCTAGTAAAATTAAAAAGATAAATTCACATGTATTGTCAAGACATTGCCTATGACAATGCATGAAAACAAGTTGAGAATGTGTGAAAAAAAGATATAGTTCCTTGTATTTTTCATATTTCCATTAAAAAGCCGTTGTCAATGTAATAAAAAGAATAACTGATCCAAAAATAAAAAAAATGGTTTGATTTTTTTTATGTTTGTGTTCTGAATTTTGTGATTAATCGGCATGGTTGCATGTTGGGACTGTTCAAGAATAAATCTTTGTTCTTGTTTTTATCTTGTGGTTGAGCAGTTTGGTTTTATCGTACCTTGTCGAGGGCAGTGTATTTACAGAAGTTTTATCGTGCCTTGTCGAGAGCAGTGTATTTACAGAAGTTTTATCATACCTTGTCGAGAGCATTAACATTAGGATCATGTTCTAACAGACTTTGCACTATTTCTGTAAATCCACCTTTCGTAGCTACAAGTAACGCTGTCCAAGAGTTCTACAACAATATTTATATAAACATATACATAAATAATATTAAAAATTAAGAGTATAGCATATAAAACTAGAGCGAAATTAACTTAAATTCAATGATATACCTTCTCATCGAATAATTTTTTTAAAAAGAAAAGTTTGTTTTGTTCATTGTTGAAGACCGTACCGTCAGAAATTATTGTGAGGTTTTTACTAATGCGACTTGGTGATTATCACAATAATAAGAACTTGCATTCTGATATCCAATACGGATATCTGTATGCACATTTTTCTGCAATCGCAATAATTATCTTCACATTTTTGTCCATTCTTCAAAAATCGCAATGATAAAAGCATGCAATAATTTCTTAATTTACAGTAGTTTCTAACATCAACATCATCTGAATTTTGGTGGATAGTTGTCTCAATGCTAATCACACCAAATCTCCTTCATTATTCTTATTTTCATATGTAATAATTGTGAGATTTCATCACTATGATGATCATCCTATCAAATTTTTTTTTTATTAACATGAACATTGCATAAACTAACCATTCCGACAACATCAACACTGGCCCCGGACGCTAACAGACTTCCTACAATCTCTAGGTTCCCTCTCCTACAGGCCCAAATCAGTGGTGTCGTACCATACTGAAATAGCACAAACATACTTAATACAAAATAATACAATCATACTAAAATAACATTAACATCTAAATTGGTCCTAGTCCCAGACGTTCTCCAATCTCTATAAAACCAACCTGATATTGAAATAAAAGACCATGATAATCTTTTTTTATAATATTCAACTTTGACAGAAAAAAATATACAACAAATAACAACTGTTTCATTTTTTCATAAATAATTAAAACATTTAAATATGAGAATCTAGAAAACTAATGTAAGTGATTGTTTTTTAAGACTAATTGTACATTTGTTTCTTGATCTTTGTTTCATAAAATGATGCAGACGCTATTTTACAAACTTGCAAATGATCATGTGTACAAATCAGTGTTGTGCTGGGCCATTGAGGTTATAAAATTGTACAGCACAAAAAGGGATACAGTAACACTCCTGGGAATGGTTCAATGATTTTAGAAACAGCCAGCATTATAGGATTTCAGAAGTTTTGAAAGTCTTCTTCCCCGAAAAAAGGAATAACAAGAATTGATATAGATATGCTCCAATAGTATCTTGTAATTTTTTATATTTAGCTTTTATCTCAAAAAACATTTAAACAGGAAATTTTAAGGTTCATTGGTATTCTATTAAATCTATTCAAAACTTTGCACACACATATACTTTTTCTATCATCAAATCAAGGCATATATTTGTGTGTAAAATACATTATCTTAATATACAGTATGGTTAACATATTTTTTTCATGACTTTAGGACCAAACCTGTTCACCAGGTATTTTTTCAAACTTTTTATTGCCCCTTATTCTAATCTTCAATAAAGATCAAATTTACTTGAAGGAAAGATTTCTTCAAGTAAATTTGATCTTGAAATAAGTGACCATTTTCCTGTTTTCAGCATTTTGCTAATTTCTGAATGGATAACTACAGCTGAATTTTTTTTATTTGACCTTGACTCCTCACCTTATCAGCAGCATTGACCTTTGCCCCTTTCTGTACCAGGTACTTGGCAACTTCATTATGCCCTCTACCAGCAGCCCAAGCTAAACATGACATACCAAACTGAAAATTAAACAAACATTTCTTTATCTAAATTGGATGGACTACCTAATAATTTCAACTTAAAAGTTTGGTAGTCTTTTGTCAATTTTTATTAGAAGGTCAATGGTTCTTCAGACTACCACACCAATAAAAACTGGCTGCCACTAAATAGCCAATAGCGTTAAAATTGGCATCAAACACCAAACATTAATCAATTAATCAATTTTGTTGAAAACTTTTCTAGATAGGATTGTTGATTCGAGATATAATTTCTGGTTTTAATGTGTTGTTTGATTGCTAATAAAATCTCTTATTATTCAGAATTTTTGGTTTAACACAATCTGGATAAATATATATTTTTGACGGTGAAATACTTTAGAATAAATCACTATCAAGACTTCACTCCAACTAAAAAACAAAAAAAAAAACAACTGATAAATTCACGTTTCATAAATCATAATGCAGTTACAAAATTGCATTTATAAATTCTAAACATCTGAATGATCCAGATTTCTGATTACCTCTGCCTTTACATTGAAGTTAGCTCCCCTTTCAATAAGTTCCTGTACAACAAGGTTCTTCCCCTTATAACAGGCCCACATCAGTGGAGTCCAGCCACTCTGAAATAAATAGTTGTTAAAAAGATTAAAAATAATATTCACATTTTAAAACTGCATAAATATCATAAATATGACACAACTGTTTATATCTATTTTTATCATCCCAAATGTTTAGTAATTAAAATAACCATTTTGTGCAATATTGCATCTATGAATTACAAAATAAATGATTGATATTTGGAAGGTAAATGTGTACAAATATAGACTTCAAACTTAATTTAAGCAAGGTTAGTAAATTTGTTGAAGAAAGGCATACAAAAAATGTTGTACCTTCAACCTCTGGCTTTTGGTTTTTGTTTTCTTGCTTTCTCCAACAAACTCAAACTAGCTTTGAAAACATGACACTACATTAAGGAAATTCCAGAAAAAAAGGTATGGAGTGATGGGAAGGCACTTTTTATTTTACCCAGTCATCCACAAAATTTCAATAAATGTGGATAGTGTCCACATGTGGACACAGATGATGCCCCCGCTTGCATATCGTATAGTAATAAAGGGACATAACTGAAGAACGGTAAAAGTGACCCTACCCAAATTTGAACTTGATCTGAGTTTTGTGGTAATAAGCATTGTGTGTAAGTCTCATAACATTTGGTTGAGGCTAACTTAAGTAGAGAACAGAAACTAAAAATTCAGCAACTTTTCTATTTGTAAATACGCATAACTCTAGAACAGTTGTGTATAAGTTTTTTTAACATTTGGTGAGACAAACTAAAGTTAGAGAACGGAAACGAAAAATTCAGCAATTTTTATGTTTACAAAGGGACATAACTCAAGAATGGTAAAAGTGTCTCCACCAAATTTCATATTTAATCTGTATTATGTAGTAATAAGCATTGTGTATAAGTTTCATAATATTTGGTTGAGGCAAACTAAAGTTAGAAAACAGAAACAAAAAAATTGTACTTGATCTTAGTTTTATGGTAATGAACATTGTGTATAGGCTTCATAATGTTTGATTGGGGCAAACTTAAGTTACAGAATGGAAACTAAAAATTTTGCAATCTTTCGATTTATAAAGGGGCATAACTCAATGGTTAAAGTGACACTACCCAAATTCAACTTGATCTGTGTTTTATCAGTGGAAGTCAAAACTAAACATTGCATTGTATAAAGCATTGATTTTAGTTGATTCAACTATAATCATGGACAAAGGAAGAAAACTCCAATTTTAAAAATAACTTGATATTTAGAAGAAAATAAAAATTTTGCAATTTTTCCATTTATAAAGGGGCATAACTCTAGAACAGTTAAAGTGACACCACCAAAATTCAAACTTGATCTGTGTTTTGTGGTAATAAGCATTGTGTATAAGTTTCATAACATTTGGTTAAGGTAAACTAAAACAAGCATTCTGTGAGTATTGCCTGGCAATACATAGTCCCCTACCGGTTAAAAATTCATTGTACTGGAACAAAATGTTAACTTGATCTATAACTTGTCATGGTGTAAACTTTATACCAATTATCAAATCAATATCTTCAAGCATGACGAAAAAAAGTGAGGAAAACTGATTATTTGAGTGAATTTTCAAAGTCCAAGGACCATAACTCTGCACAAAATCATTTGACCGGAACAAAATTCAAACTTGATCTGTAACTTGTCATGCTAAAACTATATACCAATCATGAAATCAATATCTTCAAGCATGACAAAAAAAAGTGCGGAAAACTGATTATTTGAGAGTGAATTTTCTAAGTTCAAGGACCATAACTCTGCACAAATTCGTCAGACTCGTACAAAATTCGAACTTGATCTGTAACTAGTCATGATTAAACAATACACTAAATATCAAATCAATATTTTCAAGCACGAAGAAAAAAAGTGTCGAAAACTGATCTGCCAGACTGACAGATGGACAGACAGACGGACAGACAGACAGACGGACAGAGTGCAAACCTAAAGTCCTCTTAGACTTCGTCGATAGGGGACTAATTAGAGAACAGAAACGAAAAATTCAGCAATTTTTCCATTTGTAAAGGGGCATAACTCTAGAAGGGTAAAAGTGACGCCACCAAAATTCAAACTTGATCTGTGTTTTGTGGTAATAAGCATTGTGTATAAGTTTCATAACATTTTGTTGAGGCAAACTAAAATTAGAGAACAGAAACGAAAAATTCAGCAATTTTTCCATTTGTAAAGGGGCATAACTCTAGAACGGTAAAAGTGACGCCACCTAAATTCAAACTTGATCTGTGTTTTGTGGTAATAGGCATTGTGTATAAGTTTCATAACATTTGGTTGAGGCAAACTAAAGTTAGAGAACAGAAACGATAAATTCAGCAATTTTTCCATTTGTAAAGGGGCATAACTCTAGAACGGTAAAAGTGACGCCACCAAAATTCAAACTTGATCTGTGTTTTGTGGTAATAAGCATTGTGTATAAGTTTCATAACATTTGGTTGAGGCAAACTAAAGTTAGAGAACGGAAACCAATTTTGGGACGTATGTACGTACAGACGGACAAGGGTAAAACTTAATGCCCCCTCCGCTACGGCGGGGGCATAAAAAATTATTTCCAATAATTGCTCTGACAGAAATTTCTAAAATAATCACAACTCATCAAAGTTTAATAGAAGTGAATTCTGCCACCCCCTCCCCCCATTTTAATACAATAAATTCTGGGACAGCCATAACAAAGTCCTATCAAATTTAGCTGCCCATTTTTCTGTGGTCTTGGCCTAAATAACTTAATTAACAGACATATCACCAAGACTATAATGAATAAACCGATGTTTACAAGTTTGATACAAACTTATCAAGTCATCATGGTCATCTTCTGGTTTGCTGGTGAAACAAAAAAACATAGCAAAATACACAAATACAATTCAATAAATTGATTATCAGATTTTCAGCATATTCATATTGAAAAACATCAGCTGCTTGACACAATTTGAAGCCTTTTTGAAATCATTCCCTGCGCTCACTCAACAAAAAGCTTTATATTGAGACTTGCAGTTGATATTTTACAATATCAATATGCAGATAACCTGATAATCGGTACTTATGTTAACCCCATCCAGACCCTCTATAATGATTCATACCATGTCTCGATGTTCAATGTCCGCTCCCCTCTCTAGTAATTCTATCACTACTTCTAGGTGACCTTCTTTGGCAGCACACAGGAGGGCACACCATTTCTCCTAAAATTTGAAACAAAATTGTATAAAAATAACTTATTGCAATGTTTTTATTAATGCTGTAGTATCAGGTTTGAAATAATAATACTCACATTTATAATTTATAATTTCAGTAGTAATTTTCCTTTTTTAAATTTTTGCCATCACATTCATTAGATTTCACATTTTCTGCGGTACTCAAATGCAAGGAATCGCAATAATAATATTCATGATATTGATTTCTAAATTTACAGTATCATTAACATATATTTATCTTGAAAATATAGCCATATTTTACTTTAACTCAATTTTTGTCTCAAGAATATAATATGTATCCAGTTTCACCCTATCTAAGTTACAAGGAATGTTCTCTCTAAACAATCTAACCATCTACAATGATCTAAATGCCAATCCCCCATCAAAAAAAAATTGCATTTTTAGGCCAAAAATAAAATTTAGATTGTTTGATGTTGCCTACCTACCCAAAAAATATTTTGACACAAATCGGTTCCAATTTTTTCTAAAGTTTTTTTCTGCTCTATTGTCGTTTTCTTGTCTAAAACATGTAACTTACATGACTTATGTTGTTGCCAAAAAAAAATAAAATCCCTACCTACCTACCCAACCCTACAAGACATTGGTAGGCAACATCAAACAAAGAATTTTTTAAGGGTGGCCTTACATCTAGTTTATTAGCAATTTTTTTTTGCCTTTCAATTTTTAAATCCCCCCCAATAAAATAACCCAATAATGTTCACTTTTCTCCTAAATTACAAAACTTCCAGATGGTTTATTGTGCCAAATCAAAGTCAGGTGAAGTTCGTTCCCCATACAATTTGTAAGTCAAGTCATTTCAGAGTTTTGTGTTTTTCAAAAATGTTAAAAGCAAAAAAAAAAAAAAAAACAGAAGTAAAATGATTCAAAGCTCACTATTTGGCTCATTATTGAGCTTATCTTAAAAATACCTACACTGTCTACAGCATTTGGATCTACATCAGCATCAAGTAACTCACGGACTATATTTATTTCCCCTAGTTCACAGGCTAACATTAAAAAGGTCTGTCCATTCTGAAAGTAAAACATAATTGTGTAGATGCAACATGCATGACATATCATTCTATTAAAACATGTCTTCCTATTCGTTTTTTCTTTATTAGCTTCCACCTCTATAGCCCATAGAAATCAAAGAATAATGTGTCTGAGGACACGAATGCCCTTGCTCAAGCTTTGCAACAAAAATGGGACAGACAAAGATGGAAAGACCTAAAGACAGAAGGACGGACAGTCAAGGGTAACACTTTATGCCCTCCTGGCCTATATGGAGTGGACATAAAAAACATAATGCGGTGTCCAACCCTCACATACGTTTTGCCTGGAATACCCCTTAGTAATTTAAAGAAAGGTTTGTCTTGATTTAGCATAGTTAGACCAAAGGCCAACATTCATTAAAATTTCAGCAGTTTTGACTTCTACTTTTGCCTGTAAAAGTCAATGAAAATACTTTTATCACACAGCTTTAGACATGTTAGAAGAAGTGTTATAAATAAAGATTTTCACCGAATTGAGACCAAGTCCAAGAATATTTTGATCCTTAAATGTTATGTTAAGTACTAGTACAACAATTTCTTACCTCATCTCTCTCCTCCAAGTTAATGTTGCCATTTTCCAGGAGTGTAACAGAGGCAGACAGATCTCCTCTCCGTATACTCTCCCATAACATCTGTGTTTTGAGCGTTCCCATCGTGATGTGCCGATCCTTCAAGTTAAATATCTGTTCTATGTGTACAGGCATAGGTCTACATCATTCTGTAATGAAAAAAAAGCAAAATATGTTTTATTAATTTTTCAGAAAAAAGGTGCATTTACAACAACAAAGATCAATGCACTTCATAAAATGCAAAAAAAACATGTTTTCCCATCAATTACCTTGTACAACATTGTACAAGTCTTTAAAAAATCAAATTCATCATAACTTCACAAATCTAGTTTTCTTAAAATTGTGAGTTGAAACTAAAATTTGAGACGAAATAATTCAAATTTCTTACACGTTTTTGAATAATTACATATTATTATTAAAATGTAGAAATCCGATACTTTTCCTGTCATGCATATGTATAAAACTTAACCTTTCCACTGAAAATCGTCCACAACTCTACCTTTCATTCTTTACATGTTTACCAGTGGTTCCCAAGGGCTTTGAGAAATCAACTGGACATAAGAATTTGATCCAGTAAACCATTCTTCTTAACTGGACCAGACTCTTTTTTATAGGACATTTATACATACATGTTTTGGAAAAAAATTAAAAATTTTACTGGTCATTTGGTCCAGAAAAACATATCACTTAACTGGACCAAATTAATTTTTACTGGCCTTTTCCCAATGTCCAGCAACCTTGAGAATGACTGCTTTACTTGTATTACAAGTTGAAAATTACTACAAATTTAAATTCACGTTTGTCTTACAAAAACGACCTGCTAGCCACAACATTAAAGACAATATTTGACCAAGTATTAAGGTATCAGTAATGGTAAACATTAAACATTTTTCTATTATCATAATATGTTTACATCATCATGTATCAATAGGATCATTATCCCCTTTAATCCATCTCCAAACAAAATTTTGAATATTTTACCGTTTATCTCTTTCAATAATGTAAAGACATTTTCCTTAAAGTCATGACCCTTAAAAATACTGTCTTGACTGATGGACATGATTATTAAACATGTTTAATAGTAAAAAAAAATGACTTGAAACTATGAAATTATCTGCTATCCAAATCTGAAAATCTCAAACCAGAAATCCATTGGAGAATTATTTAAGGGAGCACTCACACACGAAATGCTGAATAAAATCTTGTACACAGAATGAACTTTTCTTGTGAGTTCTTATCTTAATAAAAATTAAATAATAATAAAATAAATTGCTTCGCCGAGCGCAGCTGGATACGACCACAGAGGTACAACCCTGAACAGTTGGGGCAAAAATGGACACAATATTCGTGCTTAATACAGGTCTGAATTTGGATTGAAATTAAATGTTTGACACATAATAGGTTTCTGACACAGAATAACTGTAGTCAAAGAACTTAGAATTGGTTATATGATTTGAATTTATATTCAATTTTTTGCTTTTGTGCAATTCACTATGCTGTTGCGAATAGCCCCCCCCCCCCCCCCCAAAAAAAAAAATTACCCCACCCCCCCCTTTTTTTTTGCTTTTGTGCAATACACTATGCTGTTGCAAATTGACCCACCCCCCAAAAAATTACCCATTTAAATACATCAAAAAAGTCTTAAAATAGAAAATGACATACATTTATAATCATGTCTAAAAATAATATATCTTTAATCAGCATTTTTATTAGTGACTTCTAAAAATAAATTGACAGCTAATCACCTCAAGACAATACAAAATTTCTTTATACATAATTTTAAAGCAGTGTAAGGGAGGTAGTCCAAATCTAACATTGTACTTAAAAGTGATTGTCCATTAACAAGGAAACCCTTGTTTTCTCCCCCCTTTTTAGCCCCTAATTCCTACCCGGTTTGAGCCATAACCCCCCAAAGCCAATCCTAACCATCCCTTTGTGGTATGGAAACTTGTTGTACAATTTCAGAAAGATCCATAAACCATTCCACAAGTTATTGTCTGAAAACTAGAAAAATGCTTATTTGGGCCCCTTTTTTGTCCCCTAATTCCTAAACTGTTAGGACCATAACCCCCAAAATCAATCCCAACCTTCCTTTTGTGGTTATAAACCTTGTGTTTAAATTTCATAGATTTCTATTTACTAATACTAAAGTTATTGTCTGGAAACCAAGTGTCTTCGGACGACGACGTGATACCAATATACGTATAAAAATTGAATTGTTTATAAAATAATAAAATAATTGCAAATATGGAATTTATCACTATAGCCTCTCACACACAGAAAAGGACTCAAAAATTTCTCCATCTAGAAAAGATCTATTTCCATAATTTCAGCAAAGTTATGTGATTATATATTTATTAAATAGAGGTGTGTTGAACAATAGAATCACGTTTGCCCTTTAGTTTTTTAAAAACTATTATCATGATTATAGGTAGCAAGTTAGTTAAACACTGAAACTGGTAAACAATTGTCAATTAATAATAATAAGTTTTTTTCCTACATGTTTTACACTATCTAAATCTGTACTCACTATTTGGTATGAAATTCAACCTCTTTCAGCCTAAAAACTTTTATTTAACATGTTTAAAGTTTTATATGCATGAGCATGACGAGTGATCACAAAAAACGGAATACCATTAAAATGTAAAGTTCAAATTGCATGTCGGATGTACTGAACAGTAAATTTATACATTTATAGATTAAAATGTAAATTACCTGGTTTATTCTGATGTAAAACATGATTCGGCTAATGAACAAGTCATTTTATTACTTTTTTTGAAATATTATTAAATATATCATTTGTACTTCATTAGTTTTAGTATATCATGAATATTAATTTATGCAAATTGGTAAACATGGTAAAGATGTACCATCTACATAAATCATGAATTTGAAATATAATAGCTTATCATGATTATTGTACTATGTACATAGGTGTTCTATACAAAAATAAATTAACTCTTCGTATATATTATGTCAATTTTCTGGATACATGAATCAGTGCAGGAGCACTTCAAAGATCTGACATGCTTTAAAAAATCTCCCTCACCCCTTATACTAGATTTCACGGTTACCATGGTTACAGGGTCACAGTCTACCATGTCTACTGATGAGGACTAATATTTGATTTCACTTGCATTGGTTATTTCAAAGATCCACTGACCATGCTGACTGTTAAAAAATTTCGGGGCATAGTCATTTGGTTCACAGAGTACTCAACTTTAAATGACCAGAAGAAAATTTTACAGAATTTTGCATGACATTTGTTCAAACATGTCAAATATCAAATTCTGTCAAGACTCAAGAAGTGAAGATCTTTGGGGATATTCTGAAAGTCAAAATGTTTAGAAAATTCTTGATTTACATGTCTGTGATGACAATGGATGAGATGTAACTTTTTTGTATGTCAATTGAACAAGTTGATTTATCCTTCAGTGAGAAAAAAAATCCATTTTACATATCAATCAAAAGTCACAAACATAAATTCAATTTTGTTATAAACATGAAAAAGATTACTGGTATTACCAATTGGGTATGTGACCAACCAGTTAAATTGAAATAATTAATAATCATGATAATCATGATAATAAAAATCTTTATTGTCATAAATACAATTTAAACATGTTTGTGACAAAAAGAAAAAAAACCACTCATATATATACATACAATTGTGAACAATGAAAGTAAAAGAAGTTTGAAATTTTTGAAATGACCCATTTTTAAGTGTTATATGAAAAATTCCAAAATTCAACTGACCTGCCCTCAGATATGTCCCAGAATAACTTATCCATGTTATCTTAATAAAAAAATCATCACAATTCCTATGACCGTATTTAATTCAGTGTCACTAACAGTGATAACCTGAGGTTACCTGTTCAAATAAATTTTAATCAGGGAAACTAAAATACTGCACAATTGTGTCAATAACTACACTACAGTTTCTTGTACATGTACGTACTGTGGATTCATTTTTATTCGTGGGTTACCAATTTTCGTGGATTTCCTTGGTACAAGTGAACCGCAAATTTAAAACTTCAACGAATCACTAATTTTCTATAGGCTTCAATGCAGACTTTGACAAGAGCATGAAATCAAATGCACACGAACACGCAAATTTTCCTCAATCTACTAAAATTGGAACCTACGAAAATAAATGAATCCAAAGTATCACTTGTGGTCTCTTTACTGTTGAAACTTCTATAAGTCACACTGGCATGACCATGATGACTGTAAGTAAAATTTACAAACATTTATTCATATGCACATTCATTGGACGTGCTGTAAAACAAGGGGTAGATGTGAACAATATCCAAAATACATTAACTGATTGCACTTTCTACTTTACTATCCAGTGGCAAATAGTTCTGTCATATTTCAAGTGATAAAAGCATTATTGTTAAAAAATGACTTTGACATATTAAAAGTGAGGTGAAAGATACCAAATGGACATTGGAACTCATTAGACGAAAAAAAACTGACAAAAAAAAATTCAAAAAATCAAAAAACAAACAATAGCATAGGAATGGCCTCTAAAATCTGAGCTGGGCTACTAAATTTCGTCCACATCTTTACTTCATTATTAATATAACACTGGGCCACCAAAAATATTGGCTGGGCTACCACTTGACAAACTGCCAATACATGATGTACAATGTACATGTATCCTTGGATGCTATCACTGCATCTGCAGCAGGCAAATGTCTGTTATCTCGTGTTTACTTGTAACCTTAGATTAACCAACAGTGACATTTAAGTATCCATGGTATCTAATAACCATTGATAATCTGATAATAAAATGTGTATCTGGATAAATTGATCAGAGACATCTTGTATTCTTCTATAAACATTTAGGCCAAAATACAAAAAATATTTGTGTTTTGGAATTCCACACCTCCTCATTAAAACATTACAACACAATCATCAAGATCATGACAATGTTTTGAAATGAGTATGACAAAACTATGTACTTGTATGATTTAATTAAATAACTTTTTGAAGTTTTTGATCCTTGTACAATGTACGTTGTAATAAATTACATAAGTCACATCTTGATAAATATTTTTTGAAGAGATATATATTTACTTTATTTCCTATATTAACATGATTAACTCTCAAATCAGTATACTTTTTGAAAAGATAAGAAATATTTTATCATGGTTTCTTTAATGCAGTAATCATGGTAATTAAACCATTTTTAAAAGACATTTCGGCCACTGGCCTCCTTCAGTTTCTAAATATCATCCGTCTTATCAACATCACTTTCACAATCATAATTGAAGGATAATAAACTGAAGAAGGCCAGTGGCCTAAAAAAATGGTTTAATTACTACAATGTTATATGTGTATACATAGTTTGATCAGTTAAAATTATAAAAATATGTTACCTTGAATGGTGTTTATTATGTTTATAGATATATCATGTCTATTATATGAACATGATGAAATAATTCTGCTTCATATATATCAACAATTGATCATGACAACATAATTATCATTTAGACATTTTATCACATGATCAGTACAGTCACGGACAATAACAGACAGAATGTTTTCACTTTTTCATCTAACTGATTATCTGGTACCATTATCAACAGAATTTGTTTTTCCTTTTAAGTTTTTTTAAGGATGTGGGATGAACTAAAAGGATAGTGGTCAGATTTTTTCGAAAAGTGGCAATCCAAAGGACCGACACACTTTGGTATCTTGCAACAGAAATGGTAATGAGGACCAGCCAATTTTTTTTCAAGGACCACCACCTGACCACATGCACCAGGGAAAAATAAATTTGAGAACTCTGAGTGGTCATTAATTTTGAAAGATAAGGCTTATAAAGTTATATAGAGTACATGTTATAGCGCTGCAAATTTCAAATTTTGAAGAATGGGGGTCCTACTATGCTTCAACCCTCTAATGAAAACATAAGACTATCCAGAAAGTAGCATTTTCATTTGCGATCCTTCATTTAGTATTTGTATGGAAATGAGAGAAATGTCACAGGTCAGAGAAAAAAAATAGCAAGGCAGATCTAGATCTTGAACATGAAGCAACAGTCAGGTGACAGTATGTTCTATATTTACAAATTGAATCTGCATGTATTACAGTTACTACTGTTAAAGATAAGGTATAATTTTCATTTTTCGTAATATAAGTACATGTATGTAAATGCACCAATTCGAAATGTGATCACATTTAATTATCCCCGAAAATAGAGTTTAATAGCTTGATAAGCATGATAAGGGTTTCTGAGTGGACAGCTGATCTATCATGTCCATAGACGAGAAATTAAGTCAGTATATATATTTCATAATATTATCCTAGCTATGATCAATGCTTAAACATATAAAATTATAACACAAAATGAAGTTTGACCATGTTTCCTGAAATTCTAAACTCCTGTATACATGACAACCTTAGTTATTCTAAAATGTCATAATCAAATTTATTTACTTTTTATTTATCGGTGACATTCATTGACGTTGGGCGACATTTGGGTTATTTTTTTTATTGTGACAGGGTGTACATGTTGCAACGTAAACGGGTTTATAAATGTCATCGGATATTCCGTTCATATTTTGTCTCATGGAATTATACCCAGATAGCTCAACCGTTTACGTTGCTGGTAGAAAGGGTTCGGCCTGTGCTTTCGCTCCAGGTCTTCGGACAGCATACCAACAATCCAATGAACCAACACACAACAAATGACAGGTGTCAGAAACCTAGAAATGGCAAGAGGTGACAATTGCGCCAAGCAATAAATTTGCTCATATAACATGTATAATAAATAACCAAGATCGATACAGTTTCATATTTAATAGACAAGGACAATAATACACAAATATCACCATATCTTCATATGAATTTTTATTCTTTAATGTTCAATACATTTTCAAACCTCACCTTATAGGATAAAACGGGGCTATGCATTTACAGTGAAAAAATACCCATAACAAATTAACCAAGTAATTGAAAAGTGTTTGGCCTTTGTGCTTTAAAATGATTAAAATAATAAATTCACACACCATAAATTTAGACGTGACCAATAACTTAAAATATCAAGAACTGTACACAAGTCGTCCTTAACCATGTTAACAAAAACTAAATTCAATCAATCAAGTTCATGACGTCACACATTCCGAGATAAAATAAATATACCCACTGGTTCCCACTGACTTTATTAGACTAGAACATGAACCTCGTAATTCCATGTACCAGGGACCAAAGTCAGTCTAGTAAAATAAACATTGCATTAAGTCTATTCCCGTTTAATTCTCGGTCCAACCAGAGAAATGTCTGAAACACATTATCCAGTAGCATTGATTAGTTCAAGACCTTATACGTTATGTAATAAACATGCCATAATACAAAAGTTAATTCATGTAATTCCAGAGTATTAAGGCTCGAACAATTCCGAAGATTGAAGACCGTTACTCTAAAATATCCCTCTCAGATAAACCATTTTCTTCAATATCTAACTACATCTCTTTATAAACACGATATTCATAAAATATATAGCTAGTGTACAATTCCTACTATTTTTTGGGAACAGAAACATAAATTATGAATTTAGAAGTGTTTGACTCTAAAACAGAAACATAAATCTAATGTAAAGAAATAAACATTTAAGTCAAATATTCAAACTGATTAAAATAAAATTATAACATGTATAAGTACAACTTACAAATTAAATGTAACCATGTTAACAGTACAAAATTTTTCCCCAATCTAAAAAAAATATTGTCCAGACGAGGTTTAAATATCCAAGTCTGGACATTGAGTCTCTAGCACGAGAAAAACGATCCCCGCGAAAACCGAAGCCGAAGGGACAAACTTAGTTATATACCAGTCAGAGATATAACTCTATAGGGTTATTACAGAAAATAACTTGTGTGTGTTATTACAGATACTTTCATGAGTTGTCTACTCTTTATTCCTTAAATTTTCAAAATCTGCAATTATAACATATGTTAGTTATTTGTAAAATAAATCAAGGATATTTTAATTTATAATGGGCTCTAGGGAACTCTTGAGACTTTGCGCAGAAACTAAATGCATAGCCTTGATAATTAATTTTTTATTTAAATTAATACATTTTTGATTAACCATGGTAAATCAAATAGGAAGAGACTTTTAAGGGATAAAATTAGCTGTAATAACATAGCTTAGTTATTAAAGGAAAGTAACCTATTATATGAGACACTTGGGAATTACTGGGAAGCTTGCGCAGAACCTCATTACATGCTCTGGTCATTATAATTTATTTCTTACAATAAATTAAAATACACTGTAATTAAGCATGATGTATGTCTGAGAAAATGCTTTGGAGTGATTTAGAGAAGCTGTGATAACATCCTTTAGTTATTACAGGCATATTTTTTCTGTAATAACATATAGGTGTACTATGCAAAATTGGCAAACTATGAACTGTTATATCTTTCTATAGTTAAGTATACATAAAGGCAATAGTAATATCAATAGAACTTGTATGCATTTTAACTAAACTAATGATTAATGATGTATATTGTCCCTTTGAAACATGTAACATACATATGTTATCACAGTTCTTTGATTTTTTAGTCCACAATAACAAATGTATGTTATTATTCTGTAATAACCCTATAGAGTTATATCCCTGACTGTATACAATATTTAAAAATAGAAAGAGAGGATTTATGACGACCCACAAACTTGACAATCTATCCTATAGAATGAAACATGTAATATAGAATGCATACAATTGAATTCATTTGATATCAAAACGGAACATGAAAGATCACTAGACAATAAATAAATTTCTCATTGCCACTGTATAATTTGTAGCTGTATCAGTGTATGACACGGACAGTAGTCACTTTTGACTTTAGACCCTGACAATGATTTTCATGAAATAAAGTGTGGAACATGTGAGTTTAGATTTACCCTTTAATACTGCTGCTTTACTTATAAACTTCGATACTGAATCAAGTTGTTTTAAATGAATTGTTCATCCCATCAACTATCATGACTGAATCAAGCTTCTGAATCAAGTGACTTGACGGCTGCGCATTGAACCGTATCGAACGTCACTTCCGTCAACAAAAGCAGGTGCTTTCGTTTTGAACTTAACTTTCACAAATTTACAGAAAATGGAAGATTCGAAAGAAGATGAACTTGATAGGTAGACAGTTTACATAACAGCAATTATTAAACCGCTATATGCTCTAGTGTCTTACCTGACATTTGTTAAACGGAGAGGAAAACAATAAAAAAAGTACATTAAAAATAGGCACAAAGCTGGAGAAACAAATCCGAGTTAAAACATTTTTAAACATGTTAAACAATTTATTCAGAAACAATAATTATGTATTGCCTGGTTAAATTAACAGACAAACTCATTACATAAAATGAAATGACAACTTCAAAAACTGAGACTACTGCATCAAAATTAGAATTCAAAATTAAAATTCTTATTTTCCTAATTGCAGCCACAGGTCCCTTTTGGGCATTACAAATTTTGAAACATTCTCTCACATTTTCATAGATACTACTCTTTCTCATCTACTATCTCTGATTATGTTAATAAGGTAAAACAATAAAACTTGCGTAAAAGTCATAACATGTTGGATAAAGAGAGATAACTCTGTATTTATGCCAAATTCTGTCAATGTTTTTGTTAGTTGTTTTATTTGCTTTGGCCTTTGTATCAATCTGATGCGTTTAGCCCTTTTCAACTGATTTTTATAGTTTGTTCTTATGTTGTACTGTTTCACCACTGTCCCAGGTTATGGGATGGGTTGGCGCTGTCAAAACATGTTCAACCCAGCTACATTGTATGTGTCTGTCCCAAGTCAGGAGCCTATATATAGTTCAGTGGTTGTCGTTGGTTCATAAAATTGAGAATGGAAATGGGGAATATGTCAAAGAAACAGCAACCGGACCAAAGAGCAGACAACAACCGAAGGCCACCAATGGGTCTTCAACGCAGCGAGAAATTCCCACACCCAGAGGTGGTCCTCAGAGGCCCCTAAATAAAATTGTGTACTAGTTCAGTGAAAATGGACGTCACACTAAACTCCAAAACATATAAATGAACTAAAATAAAAAAAAAAACATACAAGACTAACAAAGGCCTCATGTCTCTCAATTTTTTTTCGGAAATTGTTTTGTTATAGATTAGGCTGTTATTTTTCTCAATGGAATTTTTTTCATTGTTTTCATGTCCGGGCCTTTTAAAGCTGACTATACGGTATAGGATTTTTTCATTAACAACAATGAACAAAGGCCATATTGTTGCCTGTAATTGCTTACATCCACTTCATTTGAACTGTGATAGATAGTTTATAATCTCATTGGCAATCATACCACATCTCCTTATTTACATACTTTTACCAAGTAGAGATAGTCATAAATTAGTATTCAAATTAATTGTTTTTTTTCTTTTAGCATGTAGAAATAGAAATTCTTTACTCAACAATTACGGACCATTGTGGGTTTTACAATGTTTACAATGATTTTTTTTTATAAATGACAATACAACATTACCATACAGCATCACAGAACACTGCAGAGGTGGACTTAGGGGGTGGGGACAGGAAGCCTGGACCCTCCTTATGGAGCTACATATATGATAAATGCATATAGTTTTTACAACCATCAGTACAAACGTTGGCTAACTAGGCCCCCCCCCCCAATTTTTTCAAAACTGCACCTGCAATAAATAGCCAGTGCATGCACATGAGAGTAAAAATGTTAATAGGGGAGACAATCATTTAATATTATAAGGATTATTTCCCTTTGAACAGTATCTAATAAAATTTCACTCATAATTGGTTGGCATTTGAATTCTTAGATAATAGTTTGAAGTCGTCCATCTTTGTCAAACCCGAGGAAAAAAAATGAAGATATGCTGTAATTCCAAACTTAACAAGATGTTTTTCTATTTGACAAATACTTTTGTGAGAAGAATAGATATCCAACTCTCCAGTACCATTATCTTATCTTTTTAGTTCACCTGGCCCAAAAGGGCCAAGTGATCTTTTCTCATCACTTGTCGTCCGGTGTCCGTTAACTTTTACAAAAATCTTCTCCTCTGAAACTACTGGGCCAAATAAAACCAAACTTGGCCTAAATCATCCTTAGGGTATCTAGTTTAAAAAAAGAATCCGATGACCCCTCCCATCAACCAAGATGGCCACCATGGCTAAAAATAGAACATGGGGGTAAAATGCAGTTTTTGGCTTATATCTCTGAAACTAAAGCATTTAGAGCAAATCTGACAAAAGAACAAAAATGTTTATAAGGTCAAGATCTATCTACCCTGAAATTTTCAGATGCATCAGACAACCCTTTGTTGGGTTGCTGCCCCTGAATTAGTAATTAGTCCCCTACCGATGAAGATATTGATTGATATTTGGTATATTGTTTTATCATGACAATTTACAGATCAATTTCGATTTTTGTTCCGATCTGATGATTTTGTACAGAGTTATGGTCCTTGGACTTAGAAAATTCACTCAAATAATCAGTTTTTTGTGCACTTTTTTTTCGTCATGCTTGAAGGTATTGATTTGATAATTGGTATATAGTTTTATCATGACAAGTTACAGATCAAGTTCAAATTTTGTTCCGGTCTGATGATTTTGTGCAGAGTTATGGTCCTTGGACTATGAAAATTCACTCAAATAATCAGTTTTCCACATTTTTTTTCGTCATGCTTGAAGATATTGACTTGATATTTGTTATATAGTTTACACCATCACAAGTTATAGATCAAGTTAGCATTTAGTTCCAGTACAATGAATTTTTAACTGGTAGTGGACTATGTATTGCCATGCAATACTCTCAGAAAGCTTGTTTCAATGAAATTTTGCAGTTTTTATCGTATATTGGTATGACATTGGCATCGTCGTCGCCTGAAGACACAGTCAGTCAGGGGTACTACTTGTACAAGTTATCTTTATTTACTTAAAGAAGTAAATAATATAAACTTATATAAGTTAATTATAATGTTTGAATAATCTCCCCTTAATTTTCTCCAAAATTTACTTGTATAAGTAAATTTTTTTTACAATCCCACAAAAATTCTCAAGTTTTGAGATGTAAAAACATGCCTTTAACAATTTTTCTCAGGTTAGCTCATAATTTTTTATTAGAGTTCAATGTTTCATCTCATTAATTCAACAAAGAAACTGATTGCGCAAAGATCTTAAGTATTTGCGCAAGGCCTTCAAAAATTGCCCCTTGGGGGCTTGTAAATGAGCAGTGTTCTGAAGATAACAGACAAATGAGATTTTCATTGTCCATGAAACTACACTTAAATGATTAGTAAAGACATCTGCAAAGGACAGACAATCAAAAATTCTATTAGAGCAAAGAAGTCCTAAGAATTCAAGAAAAGAAGATAGGATGACTTTTTTACTTGTATAAGTAAAAAAATCTGAATGTCTAAGCCCAATTTTTTTTTACCTATACAAGTAAATAAAATACACTTGTATAAGTATCCTCCAAATTTACTTATATAAGTATATTAATATTTACTTCTTCAAGTAAATAAAAATAACTTGTACAAGTAGTACCCCTGACTGACAGTGGTTTTCGCACAATAACTTTAGTTTAAGTGAATGGATCTCTATGAAATTTTACCATATGGTTCAATACCACAAAAGGAAGGTTGGGATTGATTTTGGGGGTTATGGTACCAACAGTTAAGAAATTAGGGGCCAAAAATAAGCATTTTTGTAACTTCCAGACAATAACTTGTGTGTTAGTGTATGGATCTCTCTGACATTGTACCACAAGGTTCCATATCACAAAGGGAATGCTGGGATTGATTTTGGGGGTAATTGGGAATAAGGGGCCAAAAAGGGGCAAACAAAAAGCATTTTTCTAGTTTCCAGACAATAACTTGTGTTCAAGTGTATGGATCTCTCTGAAATTGTACTGTAAGGTACCATACCACAAAGGGAAGGCTGGGATGGATTTTGGGGGTAATTCACCGTAATTGCCTCAAAATTTTTAGAAATTAGGGGCAAAAAACAATCATTTTTCTAGTTTCATGACAATAACTTGTGTGTAAGTGTATGAATCTTTCTAAAATTGTACTACAAGGTTCCATATCACAAAGGGAAAGCTGGTATTGAGTTTGGGGGTAATTGCCCAAAATGTTTAGGAATAAGGGGCCAAAAATAAGCATTTTTCTAGTTTCCAGATACTAACTTGTGTTCAAGTGTATGGATCTCTCTTAAATTCTGCTGCAAGGTACCATACCACAAAGGGAAGGCTGGGATGGATTTTGGGGGTAATTGCCTCAAAATTTTAGGAATTAGGGACCAAAAAGGGGCAAAAAACAAGCATTTTTCTAGTTTCAGGACAATATTGAATAAACTTGTGTGTAAGTGTATGAATCTTTATGAAATTGTACTACAAGGTTCCATATCACAAAGGGAAAGCTGGGTTTGAGTTAGGGGGTAACTGCCCTAAACGTTCAGGAATTTGGGGCCAAAAAGGGGCCAAAAAACAAGCATTTTTCTAGTTTCCAGTCAATAACTTGTGTTCAAGTGTATGGATCTCTCTGAAATTGTACTGCAAGGTACCATACCACAAAGGGAAGGCTGCGATTGAGTTTTGGGGGTGATGAATGATAAGGGGGTTCAAAAAATTTGTGGGGGGGGGATTTTTTTTTCTATTTTAAGACTTTTATGATGTATTTAAATTGGTAATTATGTTTGCAAACTCCATTGGAAATTTGAATTGAGATTATGACCATATCTTGAGGGAAAGAATTTTTTTTTGGAAAAGGGGGGAGGGGGGAGGTGAAAGAAAAATTTAGGGGGGAGGGGGGTAAAAAAGAAATTGTAGGGGCAATTTTTTTTTATTTCAGATTTCAGAAATAAAAAGAAAATTTCTTCAAATATTATTTCTTTTTGCAAAAAAGGGAGGGGGGGGGGGGGGTGTGAGTCAATAAGCAACAGCATAGTGTATTTCACAAAAGCAAAAAAAAAGGGGGGTACCTTTTTTTTGGGGGGGGGGACAATTTCGCAACAGCATAGTGTATTGCACAAAAGCAAAAAATTGAATATAAATTCAAATCATATGACCAATTCTAAGTTCTTTGACTACAGTTATTCGGTGTCAGAAACCTACTATGTGTCAAATATTTAATTACAATCCAAATTCAGA